TATGGTCCTATTACATGAATCGGTTGTGATTGTCAACTTATATCGACACTGATGAGGACTATAATTACATGAATAAATAAATCTGAAAAAGCTTAAAACAAGGATATAAAATATAATGATAATGCGTCTAAATACCAAACGATTCCAGGCAATACACGACATTTTCTTTGCCAAAAGTTGCATCCTTAATCATGTTATTATCACTAAAGATGGATTAATTTATATATCTAGTTAATTAATGTTCGTCACTTTATTCCTAGTCACTAAAGAGTTATAGGTAAGATTTGTCAGTTCTAATGGCCTTCCAACCACCGTATTACCACTAAATGGGTTATTTAATACATTAGATGTAAAAGGTGTGAAAAACAAGAATCTCTGAACCTTTGTGGTCTTGCACTGAGCATTTTATCCTTTTTAAACTATTTTCTATGGATCCTGTGTGAGTGAATGCTGAAACGGCGTGTATTGAATTAATGGAACGGTGTCGTTTTGAGACAGCTCCTGGATGATCCTGACCGCTAATTCAGAAGGAAAGCCAACGGCCAAGATCAAGCCTCCAGTCACACTAAAAAGGATGGGTTTCCTGTTATAACTGTAGATCGATAAAAAGTTGAGAGCAGTTTTCGTTTTTCTTAGAAATAGGGTTCTTTCTTTGGGTCTGATTTTCTTGTAATCTGTGGGTTTCTTGAGTGGTTTGGGTAATCAATCAAGGGAAAGAACTGCTGTGTTCTTGTTATAGGGTTCTAGATTAGAGAGTCCTAGGGCAGATTACGGGTTCAGAAAGTGTTGTTCGATCTGGGTTTCTTGGAGAGTCTTTCTTTTGTAATTGGACTGTAATGGGTGTTCTTTAATCACAGTGCAGCGAACCTCTTTCCAGAGTTCAACGTGGATGCTTGCTCAAATCGGGCAAGTGAACACGTAAAGATCCTATGTTGTTTTTGTGTTTTTCTGGTTTTCTTGTTTGTTTCAGTTTGCATTATAGATTGATTGCATAACAGTGGTATCAGCATCATCCTAGGGTGTATCTTTTTGAAATCGTTCAATTTTTGACAGATCGAAAAATTAGGGTTTGCTCGAAAAATTAGGGTTTCTCCATTTTAGGGGTTTCTTAATCTAAAGGTTCCTAGAGTCTTAGAACGTTGATCTTACAAGTCTTGGGTTTTCTTGTGAGATTGATCAACAAACACTGGTTAAGGAGAGTAATCTTGGTCAGTGACTTGAGTTTGTACTTGCACTGTTCTCTTTCGGTTGTCTGTCCAGTTTAAGGGTATATAGGCTAGAAACCAGTGACCGCCTTAAAACTACTTGTGCGTATTTGGCAATTCTGGTATAACCACGCCACTTACCCCTTAGACTGTATCACACTGTCTATATAATATCATGAGCACACACGTATGGAGATCTCCCTTACGATAGGAAGATCGATTCGGAGAGTTGGAAGAAGAAAAGAAGGCTCTGCTTTCACATAACAAAGTCACCCGGCACTGGAGAAGGATCCAAAGAAATGGTCCGAGGAGAAATTGAAGGAGAATGAGGAGATTGATGAAGCTGCCTACAATCTGATCGTGATGAACCTCAGACAACGTACTGAGAAAGGTTGATGGAATCGAAACCCTCTAGGTTATGGGGTAAACTCGAAACTTTGTATGCACTTCAATCTGCACCTAACTTAGCTTTTCTCAAGGGTGCTTTGTTTTCTTATAAAATGGATAGTAGCAAGACAATAGAGGAGAACCTAGATGAATTCCTAAAAATAACCTTAATTTTAAAGGGCACAGATCACGAACTAGGAGAGACTGTCTAGCCATGATTCTGTTAAATCCATTACTGAGGATTATCTAGTTGTAAGAATGCACTTCAGTATTCCGGTACTGTTCCTAGTGTTGACTTGATTGTGGCTGGTTAAAGCAAGAGAACTTGAGTTGAAGTCCAAAAACGAAGTGAGAGTAACCTGTTTGTTAGGGGAAAACCAAGATACCTTTCAATCTGGTAAAGGCAGTCAACCTAGCCAGGGTTCCAAACAAGAAACGGGGTAAATGGAACAAAAGCATAAGGCAGAGTCTAGAAAGTGTTTTTTCTATAATAAAACTGGTCACCTGAAAAAGAATTGTTTTGAATGGCTTAAGAAACAAAAGCAAGGAAACACAGAGAGTACCTAGCCTCATCCAAACACTTAGCTGAAGAAACAGAGGTCCTTACTGTCTCTGTTACTGACATACAAGAGAATGGGTGTTGATTCTGGGCTCTTTTCACATGAGTCCCAATAGGGACTGGTTTCATGACTTTGAGGAATATGATGGGAGACTGTGTTATGGGGAACAACAATGCCTGTAGGGTCAAAGGTAAAGGCAATATAACCCTTGACTCTGTAGTGGGAACTAATAAAACTTACTCATGTTGGTCCATTCAAGAACTTAAAAGGAACCTCATATCCTTAGGAACCTTAGATGAAGAAGGATGCTGTTACAGTGCTGAAAATGGGTGGCTGAATGTGTATAGAAACCATAATCTAATTTTGAAAGGAGAAAAAAGGAATGGATTGTACATCCTATGTGGAGAATATTATTCTGATTGCCTAAGTTCTTCTTCTGTCACCCCAAATATGTTAGTAACACAAAAATGGCACCTTAGAATGGGACATATGAGTCAGTGGGGACTAGATATCCTAAGTAACCAAGGCATGTTAGGAAAAGACACTGCTGCAACCTTAGAATTTTGTGAGAACTGCATTTTAGGAAAACAGCACAGAGTTAGTTTCCCAAAAGGCATACACCTGGCCAAAGGTTGTTTAGAATACATACACTCAGACTTATGGGGTCCTGAGAGAGTGAGGTCTCATGGGGGCAGTAGCTACTTTATGTCCATTGTAGATGACTTTAGNAGACTTAGTAACACAAGGGGTAATCGATCTTGTAAAGGTTTCCACTGAAGACAATCCTGCCGATATGGGAACCAAGGTTGTCTCACCTGCAAAGTTCAAACACTGTTTGAACTTGCTGCATGTAAGATAACCTGTGAAGACCAGAACAATGATGGAAATGTTTGGGTTTGCTGCACTGTGAAGGTTTAGCATTCAAGGTGGAGATTGTTGTGAGTGAATGCTGAAACGGCGTCGTATTGAATTAATGGAACGGTGTCATTTTGAGACAGCTCCTGGATGATCCTGACCGCTAATTCAGAAGGAAAGCCAACGGCCGAGATCAAGCCTCCAGTCAACACTATAAAAGGATTAGGGTTTCCTGTTATAACTGTAGATCGAATAAAAAGTTGGGAGCAGTTTTTGTTTTTCTTAGAAAACTAGGGTTCTTTCTTTGGGTCTGATTTTCTGTGTAATCTGTGGGTTTCTTGAGTGGTTTGGGTTAATCAATCAAGGGAAAGAACTGCTGTGTTCTTGTTATAGGGATTTCCAGGTTAGAGGAGTCCTAGGGCAGATTACGGGTTCAAAAAGTGTTGTTCGATCTGGGTTTCTTGGAGAGTCTTTCTTTTGTAATTGTGATTGTAATCGGGTGTTCTTTAATCATAGTGCAGCGAACTCTCTTTCCAGAGTTCAACGTGGATGTAACTTGCTCAAATCGGGCAAGTAAACCACGGTAAAGATCCTGTGTTGTTGTTTGTGTTTTTCTGGTTTTCTTGTTTGTTTCAGTTTGCATTATAGGTTGATTGCATAACAGATCCCTTTGAGACTCAACTAATTGTATATATGAGACATAGTATGGAAGTTTTGTGCAAAGTCCTGCATTTTAGTCAAGGTCAGTCTTCCAAAATTCATCTGCCAACCAGCGCCCTTCAGATATTTTTGCCTGCAATCAACCTTTCACTTAAGGTATCTCCAATCAGTTTTTCAGAATCATTATAATTGTATGTACAAATAATATATGCATATATTCATACTCAATGTGCGAATTAAATATAATTTTAGTTGTTGCATTGAAACAAATATGGTGTAATTCATTTATTGTTGTAATTTATTTATTGTTGTAATTTATTTATTGAGTTTAGTTTTTATATGCATCCATTCACTTTGAGTCAAGTCAGTTTGTATGCAGAACCGTTATTCTATTCGTAATCAATCTGTAGCTAGTTTGTATCAACTTTCTTCATCGATAATACCAACTTATAGTGTTGAGTCCAATTTTTATATCTAATATTAGTCTAAGATGATGTAAGAACAAATGGTGTAGATTTAATAGTAGACAAAACTTGGTTTAAAAGGTGGATGGATTTAATGATATTTCTTTAATTCTCTCTCCTTAAAAAACTATCAACAGAATGTCATGTCTCAAATTTAAAGGCAGATGACAAAATAAGATGGTGTGTTATAAAGATTCATGCACTAGATGTGAAAACGCATGGGAAAAATTTAGAATTCGATGGAGACACTTCAACATACTAATGAATGAATATATATATTGTTCAGGAGACATGGAGCCGACAAATGGAAGTTCAATTCCTGAAATAGTTGTTGATGTGCTGCCGCAATAGATGAACCAAAGAGAAGCTAGGCCATCATCTTCAGAACCAAATACAAGCCATATTGTGCCTCCTGGTCAGCTCTCTCTCTCTCTCTCTCTCTCTCTCTCTCNTCCCCGAGACAGTGGTATAAAAGGTTTGACAATTTCATTGTAAGTATAGGATACACTAGGAGTAGATATGATAACTGTTTCTATTTTAATTTGAATCATAATCTGCCTGTATATCTTTTACTGTATGTGGATGATATGTTACTTGTGAGTGAGTCTAAGTCTAAAATTCATGAGTTAAAGGGTCAGCTTAGATCAGAATTTGACATGAAGGATCTAGGAAATGCCAAAAGAATCCTAGGAATGGACATTATCAGGAACAGGGACAAACATGAATTAATCATTATGCAGAAATCATACTTAGAAAAACTAGTGTCTAAATTTGGTATGGCTGACTCAAAACTAGTGTCTATGCCTCTTGCAAACCATGTTGTGTTAAACTAGAGCCAATGCCCCACAACTGAGTCTGGAATAATCAAAATGGAATCTGTCCCCTATGCTAATGTTGTTGGATCTGTGATGTATGGAATGATCAGTACCAGACCAGACCTGTCCTATTCTATTTCCCTACTGAGCAGAGTCATGGCAAATCTAGGCAGTGAGCACTGGACTGCCTTAAAGGGTGTATTAAGGTACATTAATGGTACCCTGAACGTTGGTCTAAACTTCTGTAAAAGGCATAATATACTTGACTTGGTGGGTTTTGTAGACTCTGATTTTGCAGGTGACAAAGACACAAGGAAATCCACCACCTCTTATTACTTTACCCTTGGAGGAAATTGCATTAGCTGGAAGTCACAACTTCAGCCCATTGTTGCTCTCTCAACAACTGAAGCAGAGTATATTGCTATTGCTGATGTGTTTAAGGAAGCTGTGTGGCTGCAAGGTTTGTTAGCCGAAGTAAAACTGACTGATGGCAAGGCTACTATATTCTCAGATAGTCAGAGTGCAATCCATCTCAGTAAGAATCCAATTTACCATGAGCGGACCAAGCATGTGGATGTCTGCTTCCACTTCGTCAGAGACTTAGTAACATAGGGGGTAATTGATCTTGTAAAGGTTTCCACTGAAGACAATCCTGCCGATATGGGAACCAAGGTTGTCTCACCTGCAAAGTTCAAGCACTGCTTGAACCTGCTGCATGTAAGATAACCTGTGAAGACCAGAACAATGATGGAACTGTTTGGGTTTGCTGCACTGTGAAGGTTTAGCATTCAAGGTAGAGATTGTTGTGAGTGAATGCTGAAACGGCGTCGTACTGAATTAATGGAACAGTGTCGTTTTGAGACAGCTCCTGGATGATCCTGACCGCTGATTCAGAGGAAAAGCCAACGGCTGAGATCAAGCATCCAGTCAACACTATAAAAGGAGTAGGGTTTCCTGTTGTAACAGTAGATCAAACTAAAAAGGTTAAGAGCAGTTTTTTTTTTTTCTTAGGAAAAACTAGGGTTCTCTCTTTGGGTCTGATTTCTGTGTAATCTGTGGGTTTCTTGAGTGGTTTGGGTTAATCAATCAAGGGAAGAACTACTGTGTTCTTGTTATAGGGATTTCCAGGTTAGAGGAGTCCTAGGGCAGATTACGGGTTCAGATCAAAGTTGTTCGATCTGGGTTTCTTGGGTGTCATTCTTTGTAATCGTGACTGTAATCGGTTGTTCTTTAATCATAGTGCAGCGAACTCCCTTTTCAGAGTTCAACGTGGATGTAGCTTACTCAAATCGGGCAAATGAACCACGGTAAAGATCCGATGTTTATTGTTTGTGGTTTTTTGGTTTCTTGTTTGTTTCAGTTTGTATTTTAGGTTGATTGCATAGCACAACTAGATCAAATAGTAAAACCGAAATCAATCGTGCTGGCAATGCCGACGCTGACAATTTGTGAGTAATTAATGAGGTGCAAACTCCAACGTTGACAAACTGGTAATCCAAATCTGGTGGCGGGGACTTCAACCGGTCCACAGATGATGGACATGACTGGAGCATTGACCACAGTTGTCCAAACTCTACTACAACAACAGATGGCCACCTTGCAAGGGACAGTACCAGGGTAGCAGGCCCCAAATCCACATAACATAACTCGCACTGCAACTCCGACTGAGACTAAAATAATTTTGTTATAAAAATATAGTTGTCATAAAGTTATAGTTCTTATAATGATCAATAACTATATGGTTATCGTTACCGATAGTATGATATCCTATATTTGATATTCCTTTCACATTTTATGTCTGATAAAACTTTATTCTAGTTATAACATTTTTCAATCATTTTTATAGTAGATATAAAAAGTTATGCAATCATTGACATGCAATACTGAAGATTGATTTTGCCTCGTATTTTAGATTCAATTTACTATTGCAATTGTTTTTGTTGCATTTCTTGTTCAAAATTAACATGGATCATCAATTGATGGTTTTCTATATGTCAATTATAATGATTAAAGCTTGTTGCTTTTTTCTCCTATATACTGTTACAATGGAATGTCTACAAATAATAAAATAAAATTCAGGGTCTTATTTTTATTGTTGTATATATAAAAAGTTAAAACCTCCTTTACTCGATGTAACATTCTTTAGGAGCTTTTTGTTTCTTCGTAAAATATTTGAATAATGCACGGAGGGAGTTTCAACTTTATCAGATAGGAATTTGGATTTTAATTGTGATTATAAATTGTAAAGAAAAATTCAATTGTTCTTAATGCTGGTGTTTCCTATTTTTATTTATGTCATAGTTTATTCAAAAATTCACCATGAAATGAAAAAAATTGTAATAACTAGAATAATATATATATTAACGCATATTTTTAGAGAGATACATTATAGGTCAATCATGATATAATATATATTTTTGGGTTACAAGTTTTCTTATTCATTCAAAACCCTAAAAATTATGACATTAATCTGTGAACAATTGAAGGTTAGAATACTAGGGCTTTTGAAAAGGAATGGCCGATGAGTGGAATGGCGGCAACGGCGTCGATTTTTTATGAGTGAATCGACCGCAAATTGCAAAACAATGTCACTGGAAAAAACCTTTTGTCGCCGACGATTGGGGAGACGAACGGGGGAGGGATGAGATGTATTTTGGTTAGGAGGCTGAGGAGAGTGTTTTCATGGTAATGGGGAGTGTTATTGTCACCGGAAATAGGCCCTATTTGACGATGTTGACTTTGGTGTTTGGGGTATTTTTACAAGATTTCAAACTTATGGGGACTTATATGTAATTTTGAGGGGTGTTTTGTTAGATTTTAAACATTTAAACACGGATTTGACCCACAGTTCACAGTGGTTAAATCGCTCGACCCATGACCCGGTGGCCTAACCAAGTCACTACACGAGTCGGGTTTCTAATCAATGATATATTTATCTCTGTCTTTATAAATTCTATGTATAAAAATAAGATTTATTTTTCCGTGTACCCTTAATGGTCCTTAAAAAATTAAAAAATATATATTTCATCATTCGCTACATTCTTCACTCATTCTGCAAATAAAATGTATTGTTTTACAAATTACAAATAAATGTAATGTTTATTGATTATTGGATCCTCACAGAAAAAATAATAATAAATAATAATACTTAATTTGCAGTCCAATGTTCACATATGGGACTATAATATAATAATAATAATTTCAAATATAAATTAGAAATAAATCATATACCTAAATCTAATATAAGAAGTACGATTCATTGATAAAATTAGTGAAAAATCATCATCTTAAAGATATGGTGGAGTTCCGAGTAAATTAGACGCCGCCAATAAAGTTAATTAAATTTAGCTTTTGACTGTTAATTACTGTTTAATCAACAGGTAAATGTGCTGCAATTTTATCAATTAACAAGCATTGATTTAACCTGTCCTCATTTGCCACCTTGATTTTACCTGTGACGTAACGTTAAATTCCTTTTTGATTAGTGAAGTAATAATCAAAACTTTCACAAAGAGGTTTTGTTTTCTTTGTGAAATAAAGTCATAAAGATCGCGTGAGTTTCTTCTTATTCGACAAGGTTGGATCTGGCTGCGAATAATAGTTTTCTTTTTTTTTTTTTTAATATTTTGGTAGACTAAAACATTTTATTAAGTTACATATGTACAAGATATCAAAAGATAGTAAGATATCTTTTCTACAGTAAATTCTAATTGTTAATTTTTTTTGCTTTAAGAAATTATTAGGATATTGTGGCCCACTTTCTTATTTGTTTGCATGTCAATTTGTAATTTTAAGGAAAAACTATATATAAAGAGTAATGCTATCCTTACTCACTCCCTTTACTCACTTCTCTTACTCACTTTGTAAATATACGCATAGTACGGGTATTATACGCATAGTACGGGTACCATTGTCATTTTAACAAAGTGAGTAGAGAAGTAAGTAAAGGGAGTGAGTAAGGATACATTTTTCATAATAAAATACAATTGTAAAGGAATAGAATTAAGAGTCTTATTAGGAATTGAAATATGAATCCTATAGAATAAAATTTTCATATCCAGTGGAGAGCGTCTTAGAATTGAGATCGTTTCCGCTCTGTTTTATGTATCAGGTTTATGGTCATGTGTACTCTTGTATATCATATTCATGAAACTATAGTGAATTTTCCTCATCCATGGATGTGAGCGGGTTATGTCAAACAACGTAATATCGTGTCTTTGTGTGATGTGATTTTATTCATATATTATTAATCTCGAATGTATGTTTCCATTGTACAATCTCCTACAGAAATTACTGCAACGACAAGCGTTATACAATGACACACCAATATTTTTGTGACATTGTTGCTAAGTTATAGTAGATACACATTTTCAGTTCGAACAACGCTCATATGCGTTGGAATAGGTCTTTTTTTGTTATGGTGATTGTCGACATTATTATTTAGAATGTAAATTTGTAAAATTAATTTTTTTATAATGTAATAAAATATACATGTATTGATAATGTTAAACTTTATTATTCATTTATGAAATTAAAGATAATTTCTATATTTACTGTTGATTATATGCATGTGTTTTACTAATTTAAACTTTATAATTACTTTAAACACGTGCAATCTTTGTCCGATGATCATTAAAAATCTTGGATCAATCTCCGATTCTTCATATAAACTCAACATGTAGACTAAAAGTAACAACGTTTAATTGGTGGCCCACGATGCAAAAGTTTAGGTCAATAGCATACCAATCTCGTTATTAGTTTTTTCTTGAAAAAAATAAATTATAGATATCTACACTGTCTTTAATTATTAAAGTTATTCAAATCATATGAATATCACCCTCGATAATATTCAATATGTATATGTTTGGAAATTTCTATAATTTAGTTTTCTAACTAGACCTGTTAAGATCATATTGTTCCTCCCCCATTCTGGTTATGAATTGTTAAAAATTTAATATCAAATTTCTTTGAGGATATTAATAAAAATTAACACTACTTCTAATCTGAGCCTCCTCATCTTTATTTTATTTTTTTTATAATCAGATATTGAGTCAGCCTACGCACATCTCAACTAATTATCGGAATCATTAACACATCTTACAAACCCAAAGAATCAAAAGCCACAATTATTACGATAGGTATCCCAAGGTTTGAACCTAAAAACTTAAGAAAGAAACAAACCTCTTTGACCATTACTAACCTCTTAGGTTTGGCGTAAGCTTTACTATTGTCTAAACTATTTGCAATCTGCCCAGTTGGGGGGTCTCTTTCAAATATTTTTTTTTTTTTTTTTTTGAAAAAAGAGAAATATATAGATACCAATAACGACTGCATTTTCCTAAAGGTGGCGCCAATAATTTTCTTCTTAGGGGATTGTGAATGACAAAGAAAGACATAAATTTAACCTAAGAATTGAACCTAAACAAATTGTGTAGCGGACCCCAATGGTGCTCCCCTTCTGATTGTACTAAATTCGATGTCCATATCAATATCTTTCATTGGCTATAAAAGTAACAACAAAAATTCTTAAAGATCAATATGTGTTGAATGAGTACAAGTCATTATCCTTACCAATTCAAGTCTTTTCTTGGTTATTTGTGGTTAGGTTTTTTTTTTTGGTCGTCTTTATCTAATTACTTAAGTTAAACATTCGGTATTTTTCTAAGAGTATTAGTTTGGGATTCTGGTTTGATTTAAGCCGAACATAAGGTAAAGGGGTCGCTTTGAGTTTACTACTATTGCTTGTGTTAAGCGTTTGTTTTCTGTTGTCTTACTGATAACTTAAGCTTTTAAGTCAGACATTTGGTTTTTTCAAGTGTATTATTTTGGGATTCCAGTTGGTTTTTAAACATAAAGGTAAAGGGTCAGTTCGAGTTTAATATTATTGCTGGAGTTGTGTTAAAATTCTGAACTAGGTCCACAAAATGATTCCACTGGGTTTAGATTCATCCCACCGATGAAGAGCTCATTGATATACTGAAAAAAAGTATGTGGACAAGAGATGCCTCTCCATGATCGTTTATTGTTAAAAAAACATATATGAGCTTGATCCTCAAGACTTTCATTGTGCGTTAAGCTACATTTTGTCTTTCTTCTCTCTTCATTTATTTGATTTCTTCTGTTTAACACTTATGATGTCCCTATGCTTGGGCTTTCTTTCACATTCTCACTGTGTGCTTGGATTTTTTTTTTTTTTTTTTTTTTTTTTTTTTTTTTTAATTCCTTTCAACTAGATTTTGCATTAGCATCATGGGATATTGTAAAGTAATTTTAATATATTTATTAAATGCTTCTAGTGTCGATTAGCAGTTAGGTGTCATCCTCAACTTCTTGTTTCTTTTCAAAACTTGTCTCTGCTACAATGAAGTCTTGACTTAACATTTGCCTATAGTTCTCTCATTCCAACCTTGCACAGAGACTTACATTTACATAAACTGAAAAACTTTCTTTTTCTTTTTTTGTTTTTGATTTTGTATAGTTTCTCAATTTGGATTGGGCATCATCTTTTCTACCAGGATGCTCAGACGATTTTCCGATGCATTGTATTGCGTCGGAGTAGAGTGACATCGACATAGGAAATAACTAGTCTGGCGTTGGTCCTACGCCAGTGTTGCCCTTTTTACTAGTGGTGTCATATCAGAGCTATACAGAAGCTTTAAGTGTGTGCAGATTAACATATATAATAGAGAATGATTCATATAATATAGTGTATGCAATTTCATTAAGAGATCATTATTAGACAAATGAGTCATATTTAATTTCTTGTGGGTTTAGTCAACATAGTAATGTTACCAATTAACAATGCAATGATATTTTTAAACTATATATATATTTTTTTTTTTTCTGATTTATCTATTTTCTATGTTGATATAGGGGATCACACCGTTGTCTTACCCAGTAATGAGAGATATTGTTACTATATGAGGGAGACTGATTCCAGAGAAGTACCAGAACGAGGATGGTGGAGAGCTACAGGTCACGTTAAGAAAATCAATGCCAACGACAAAAATGTGGTGGGTTACAAGAGACCCCTAACATTTATTAGGTTTAGAGATAGTGAAAGAAAGCGTAAAAATGCCTTCAAGACCAATTGGATTATGCATGAATACAGTCTCAACTCAAACACAACGGTTAGTCCTAATTTGTTTTTGTTTTCTTAATTTATATATCAATATCCATCCTTTTTTTTGCAAGTATATATTAGGAATCAATCTCTAGTTAGAATGTCCAAATATTTATTATGTCAGAGCTATACTTAATCAATCACTATTGGATTTTTATCTACAAAATATTATTTCAATCCAACAAGTGAATCCAATGGTATTTAAGTATAGTTCAGATGTAATTAATATCAGGACATCTTAGCTAGAGAATATCCGTGTATATAATGCTATATGAACCTATCCTAGTATGTTGTAAGTCATTACTGTTATGATTATTCATGGTATATCTTTCTTGTAAATCCTTAGGCTTAATTTCATTATATAATAATATATGTCGTGTTTCTTTTGAATCTCAATCATAAAGACTTCACAAAATCATATATGGGATTTTAAGTTAAATATGAAAGCCCAATTTAGAATAGTTTTATCTTTCACTTTCTTTTACAAAATCCTTTTCCAATATCTTTCTTATTAGATAATGGTAAAAAAATTTGTACTAATTCATGGTTCAGGCTGAGACCTTTATTAAGAAGAATAGAAAGGAATAAACGAATTGACTTTAGGGATTTAAAAAAACTAATAGGAAGAAGAAATAAGATAAAGTATATTTAACATGCATTAATACTCAAAAAAAGAACTTTTTTTTTAGTGGCTTTTTGACCAGAATTGATCGCTAGCATGCATGCTTCTAAAGTGACTAGAAATCACTACTATCAACTCTACTTTGTAATGTCCTTTTCATTTCTTCTTCTTTTCCCAGCAATTCCTTTTGGTGATCCTGAATATACTCAGTTTCTGTTGCGAACATCTAAATTTTCTTCTTTTTCTTTTTCTTTTTTTCAGGAATGGAGGCTTTGTAAGATCAAGTACAAGGGCAAGGCAAGTGTAAAAGAAGAGATGGAGAATATTAGAAAAGGTTACTTTAAATTAACGAATAGTTTTGAATCGAGCAGCCCTTCAATAATGGTGATGGAGCCTGATTTTGTTGACGAAGAACAACAACAACGACAACAACGACAGCTCTTAAACCTAGAAAATAATTTGCAGGAAACATATGATTCAATGGGCATGGAGCTTCATTTTTTTAGTGAAGCACAGGAGAAAATATTACAAGTGCCAGAGGCTTTACAACTTGATGATGAAGTGATGAATATGCAAATTATGGATCACCAACAACAAGATCAACAGCAATCAAATGCTTCATATGATCCAATTTTAACTCACATTTCGAATTCAGACTATTATTTTGATGATCAAATGGAGCAGCCGGATTCATCAGAGGAATTATTTCCCAGCCTTTGGTCTTGGTAAAATTAGAATAAGGTAGCTTTCATGAATGTTTGATTATATATATTTATTTCAGAGTTCTCCAGTTTTGTATGGTTAAGAATTATATTTTACATATATGTGTTCGTTTTGATTCATGCAATAGTTTCATTTACTTAATTTTTATATTTTTGAAGTGGTTTGAGAGAATGATTTGTTGACAGAATTATAAAAGAAAAGATCTTGGAGAGTATTTCAGTTTAAAAAATTAGATTTATTAACTATTAATAGAGATAAAAGAAAAAAAGAAAAAAAAAGTCAATCTCCTGGGCTCTTTAACTTTCATTTTTTAACGATGGCCAAAATGTAATTAGATTTTGATAATCTACAAAAAATTAATCAATCAAATTTACTATACAGGGGGATAAAATTTACTATACGAGGGGATAAGAGGCAAACCAAAAAAAAAAAAGGGATCAATCAAATGCAACATCTCTTTTGCTTAAAAGATGTTTATTTCTTAGGCAATATTACACTTACAACCCAATCTCAAAAATTTTCTCTCATAATCTCAATGCGATAGCTTGTAATTAGTCAGCTCATAATTGATCTCGTCTATCCAATTTTGTGCTGACTAATTATGAACTGTCACACCGAGGTAGTGAGAGAAAGTTCGTAAGATTAAGTTGTGAGTCAATCTTTATTATTATTTCCTTGCAATCGCTACAATACATTTCTCTTGTATAGTCGAATGTAGAGTTGTTGAAAATTTCATCCCGGGAGTTTGGAAAAAGTACTTACTTTGGGTCAATAAAATCTAAAAAAATTATTATAATCCCTATCAAATTACTGCGGTCAAAGAAAATTAAACGGTATAAGGGTATAATTGTCATTTTACACTTTTAAGAATTGTAAAATCAAATTAAAAAAGCAAAAAGAAACATTTTAATTATAAAAGTATAAAATTATCTTTATTAAGAAAAAGAAAAAAAATTAATACAATAAAATTACAAATAACATTTGACATGAGAATTTTTTTTTTTAATTTTTTAATTTTAAATCTTTAATTTTAGTTTTGAAAATGTTTTCAATTTTTTTATAAATTCTATTTATTTTTATTTTTATTTTTTATTTCATTTTAGTTTTATTATATTGATCTCTAAAGTCCTAATTTTTCATTCTTCCTAATAAGATAAATGGGTGTATAATATACATTTCAGTTTCACACTCAACAGTCAACAGGGACTATAATGATATTTTCAAATTTTACCGGATGAAAGGGTATTTTCTCCAAACCTCAGGATGAAAATGTTACGAACTCTCCTCTGCATGATAAGTGTCACCCAAACGTGGAACAAGAGTAATAAAGTAAACCTTATTTGTAAATGTACCCGAATAATTGATGATATCTCACTTCTTCCACCAAAAACTTGATATAGTAACAGTTGTGTATCACAAGTTAAAAGTTAAAGATCATCATTGATAAATCCTTGGATTCTTCTATATACGGCAACACTAACATGATCGAATCTTTGGGGACGACTTTTGAGAACCTTGTCAATCACTTTTTATCTTCGATAACATTTCCACTATATTTTTTATTTGATTCATGATTTCTTATGATATCATGTCACTTCTATTTTGAAACTTAAATTTTGTTCTTAGAGGCTTGTGTCACTTCGATCATCTTCTATCATATCCCACGGATCTCGAGAGATGAAGAGTTATGTTAACAACTAAAATATCTGAAAAATATATTAGAATTTAATAAAATGATGAATAGTTATTTAGTACATTTTTTAAAAAAAAAAATTTAAGATAGGATAATTATTTGATATATTTTCTGAAAATATTTAGATTATTTTTTTAATCTCCTATATTTGTTAATTTAGTTAAACACCTCCACAATGAGAGTTTAAAAATTAACTAAAGCACTTCAGTCACCCAAAAGGAAAGCCGGTCGTTAGCCACCACAGCCAGACGGCAATCGGTAGTCATCAGAACGCCACACGATCGGTTAGATCTGGCTGATCATGCATTGACATTGCCGTTTTCGACCAAATCTATGACCAGAATATAGCCGTTGATAGCCAGATTCTGGCTATTGCTAATAGCTAGAGATTTGGCTGTCATCAACGACCAAATCTCGACCAGAATTGTTAGTGCATGCCCTAGGAATCAATCGTGTTATCGGTTCCAGAACATTATATCTTGTAAATATTTATTATTAAAAGAAAGAATTCTGATTCCACATGTTGTTTACTGCTTCTTCTATATATTTAATATTGCATGTGAAGTATCCACATGACACGGATCTAAAAAAGGTCAAGTCATGGAAGCATTCCCAACGTAAGTACTGCTAATTAAATAATAACATTGCATAGTAGGTATATTGAATGTCTCCATTAAATATCATATAATGGTGAATATCATGTCTCTATTAAATATCATCTGATGTAAATGGTTGCATCCGAATTAATGTATTGGTGAGAAATAATTATCCATGAATAGCTAGCACTAATTAAAGGTAATAAGGATTTATTATATATTATTATTGAACCGTATTCAATAATGGGGGCAATAGTGCATTAGTTTTATTCTAAAGAGTTTTAATATTTAATGAGATTAAAATTTAGGCTAATTATGAATTGACCATAAAACCAAGGGCTTGAAATAAATGCTCTTTCCAAGATTAATTTTAAATTATTTGAGCCTTTCCCAAAACAATTTAAAATTGCACTTTGTGCCTAGGGTATATAAATAAAGTGTTATACCATTTTTTTCAAAATGAAAAACAAAAACACTCTCACTTTCTCTCTCACTCATATTCGGCTCTCTTTTCCTTGGCCTAGGTGGATCACATTTTGAGGTTCTTCAAGTTCATTTGAAGAATTAAGACTCCAAAAAAGAAGATTCAAGAGTTAAATAGCAAATGAGTAGGTAATATTTCATCCTTACCTTGTAATATTTTTGACTCATGTGTTATGTTTGTGTTCTACCTTGGATCCATCACTTTGGTCATCATTTTCACTCCATTTCCATGTCCTAAATGAATGAATCGCAATAGGAATCTGGCCCTCAACAGCCAGATCTCTGGCCATAAATTTGGTCGAAAATGACCAAGTCATGCACCGTTCCGGCCACGTCGACCTGCAGTGGCTGTCGGCGGTAGCCGCCAACGATGGTTGCTGGTAGGCGATGGTGATCTTGGGTGGATTAATTTTTAGATTGGAATAAGAGAAAATTGAGAGAGAGAAAGAGAGAGAACGGTAGAGGAAGGAAAGAAAGAAAAAAATTTTTAAGTTGAAAAGAGTTGGAAAAATGTTTTAAGTTGAATAGAGTTGGATAATCTGAAAACAAGTCCAACCCTCTTTTTATTTTTAGATAAAAAATCTTATTTGAGTTGAATTGATTTTCATATTGGATTGGCCCAATAAGTAAATAAACGCATATCCTATTTTTTATTCCAAATAGGTTAACAGAATAATGATCCAGGATAGTGTAACAAACAAAGGCTTAGTCTATGTATACTTTCTTGTAATCATTTTTATTGTAAATGCATGAGTCTTGATTAGAAATGCCATTTACTTATGAAAGCTCCAAGAAAACATGGTTTTTTTTTTTTTTTTTGTTTGGGACCAAAATATCACTTTTCAATATGTGGGGATTAAATAGATTTGTCAAGTTTTACATCTTTATAATTTAACCCATCCGGTCAATCAAATTACATATCTAGATTTTATTTAAATTTTAGGCTAAATTGGCATTTTTTTTTTTAAATGACGGAGGTTTTCGGGCCCCCACTTTCCTCAAGGTCCACTATAAGCCAAACCCAGGACATGCCAGGCTAAATTGGCGTATTTTAGAGTTTGAGGGTTAAATCTTGAACTTTGACCCATCCAGTCCACCGAATTTGCTTCTGAATTGGCCATAATCACTCTAAAAAAATGCTCTACCAAGTCGATCGACCGGTGTTGTTTTTGAGGGTTATAAAGGCCAGAGCCTCTTAGACAAATTTATTGTAGTGGTGGATGAATTTTAAGTAATTCAAGATTTATTCTCCATAAAATTATTATTTATTAGCAAGTTTAAAATTGATATTTTAACCATCAAAGTTGGTCAAATGCAAATTCATACCGACGGAGACTGAGGTTTTTATTACTGGCCCCCCTGAAGGGTTGTTAATTCCGGCGGCACAGCCCTAATTGGAAAGTATGAAAAACTCCCTTGCCGTTAAGACTGCATCCAAAAAAGTCAACCAAAGTCAAGGGATTTCCACCAAGATCAAGATTATAACATAAATTTGGGAAATTACTCACCATTGCTCTCATTCTCTTCTTGGCATTTCCACCAAGATCAAGATATGTTCTTATATTGTGTCCCAATTTCTTACAGTTGGAACATCTACAAGTGATTGTCTTAGATCATTTTTTTTTCTTCTCATCGAGCTCTTTTCTTCTATTGCGGCTTGGTCTACCATGCTTTCTCTTAACCTTTGGAGCTATGAGGATGTGAGCATCAGGAGTTTTTGGCCAGATGCTGACATATGGAATTCGCTAAATAAAGTGACTCTATGTCTGCACATACTGATCAGTCTTGTACATTTCATTGGTGTAGTTAGCAACCTTGAACCTTTCGTGATTCAGGTAGATAATGATCCATGTTTGCCAGGTATGCTACTTACCTGCTAAACCCCCACAGTCACAGTCCCACGTCTAAAGGTTTACAACATAATTCCTGGCATCAGTATCTCTTGTTTCATATTTAAGGTCTCCCCCCATTAAGATGTCAACATCCCTAGATGCCAATGTAGCTTCATCAATCAACTTACTAATTTTAGGAGGTACAGCTACTGTTCAGGTTAGTGAATCCTAGTGCCTTTCTTTCATTCCACCAAATACCTTATAAATAGTTTCAAGCGAAGTGACAATTGGTTTATTTTTGTCTACATCTATCCATGCATTGAAACTTTCGGACGTATTGTCTGCTATACTGTCACAACATACTTGCTGATGGAATGCATGTTCAGGCCAGTGCCCAGCCCTTATGCTTTCAAGGTAATGCCATGCCTCCTCATTTATAGCCCTCGATGCCTCCCAGAACATTCTTTTGTACTGAATTTCAGGCCAAGTGCACCTAAAGTTGGCATATATATGCCTGGCACAGAATCTAAGATGAGCTTTTGGCCAAACTGCATTCAGAGCTTGAATAAGGTCATTCTGCCTATTAAAAATAAATGTCATCTTCTTTTCTATAAATCCCATCATCAGGTACTACACCCTCATCCCTAACTTCTTCATCCTCATTGTCATCACTATCATCCCCACCTTCCACTACTACATTATCACCATCAGTAACCTCAGCCTGCCCATCCCAGATGTCATTTGTGGCACAATCTACATCAATTTTTTGTCTAGATGGGTGGCTTGTGTTTCAGATAGGTTTAATACAGGTTGGATTCGGCTAGGATGTGTTTCAGTTTCTGGTGGCTCATGTTCTATTTTACTTTGAGGGCTAATTTGTTGATCATCTATTGGCCTAACAGGATCTAAAGTTTGTCAACTGCTTTATTCAGGTCAATCCCACTGTTAGTTGAATTGGGTATATCAGGCAGTGCAAGAAAAGGTTCTTGTATCTCTATTGATTGAACCTCAGCATAACAATGTACCTCCTGGACATCATACATGTAAAACTCCCCAAACATTTCCTGCAACACTTCATCATTCTCTCTCCTATACATATCATCCAGCTAGAGCAACCACAACAACAATATCACCTCCTCTCTAGGTGTAATAGACTTCCCATAAGCCATCGTCACCGCCTCTTTCTTAAGAGATACCACACTAATATAATTATAATTTCTAAACCCAAGGTTGTAAGCATCCCCAAATATATGAACCCATTTATCAAAACAAGCCATTTTCACATCCTAATACCTTATAAGAAAACAACATAAAAAAAAAAACCCAAGGTTGTAAGCATCCCCAAATATATGAACCCATTTATCAAAACAAGCCATTTTCACATCCTGATACCTTATCAGAAAACAACATAAATCAGAAAAAAAAAAAAAAAAATCTCTTTTAACAGTAATCATACTCCTACAAACATGCAACCCTGCGTTCATATACAGTAACCACCACCAGTTCATGATTTTTACACTCAAACAAGCATCATAAGTGATAAAAGAGTGAACTTTTTAAGTAGAAAAATATCAGCTTCTTTCTAGGGTTTTCCACTGATTAAATGATCAAGCGACTAACGAAAATGAAATCAAACCAAACATGCATGATACATTACTGAAACAAAGACATAAAAACACAACTTTGCACCATTAGCCTTTTTGCTTTAAAAAAAAAAAAAAAAAAAGCGCCATTGAAAATAGAGAAGAAAACCAGAAGAAAGAATGAAAATTTAACACATATCATCACAATACTTAAGCAACGAGTAACGATAACCAAAATTTCTTAACTCTAATGTGTTTATTATGCAAAAACTTAAAAAAAAAAAATTATTAACTTTTAAAAAACCCATCAACTAACCTCTCCTTAACTCCTTCGTCTACTGTAACACAGTGCTTTCAGCTTCGAAACGGAGTCCACAGATCCTCTCAAACCTCCATCACTTCAAGGGAATGTCAAAAGTCGCCTTATTCAAAGGTGTTTAGGGTTGTTTTCCTGCGCAGCTGCAGTTTTTTTTTTTTTTTTTTTTGGTCCAAGGACCTTTTCTCTGTGTAAAACTGTAAATGCAGCCAAGTGTGCAAATTGGGTCCACATGTCTTTAAGGTTTGACAATGAAAAAGCAATAAGATATTTTAACCTACAAAATACTGTTTCTTCAAGCCTTGGTTGACTTTTTTGAATGTTGTCTCAACTTTGATGGCACTGGGGCAGGGGTTTTTTTCATACTTTCCAATGAGCCATTAGGGGTGTGCCGCTGTAATTAACAATTGTTTTGGGGGGTGGGGTAGTAAAAACCTCTAATATTAGGGCTACTGTTGTTAATTTCTGAACTGAAGGGACGAAAGATGATTGAGACAAAGATAGGAACCCGAAGTGTCAGTCGCACACTCACACTTTTAGTGTAGGCTATTAGCGACAGAATTTGCCTTGGCGCGTTTTCGCAAGACCAAAACACTCACACAAGTTACGTTGCATTCCATCATATTACTTCTCGCTTTCACGGTGAACTCAAGAGCGCTTTGAAGAAAAGTACTCAATTGGTAGACATTCACAATCACTCTCTTCCAATTTCCTTGTTAGCATTGTTGTAACACCCTAAAAACCCTGATTAAATTTATTATTCACAACCGATTTTTATCCTTTCTTTTTTTTTTTTGCTTGCATTTGTCTAGGGTTTCTGGGTTTTCTTGAATTGTATTGTGAAAACTTGCATTATAGTGTGTATTTTAGTTCATTTGATTTGATTTTTGGTTTTTCTGGATATGGTAAATTGAGACTTAAAGCTTATGTTTTTTAAGTTAATGTTAGTGAAGTAATTTGTTCTTGTGTGTTTGAACTGTATTATCAAATGTTGAATTTGTTATCCTCGATTTATTGTTGCTCATTTCATTTGTTTTATATTGTTTATGTGAATGTGGTGAATTGGGCAAGTTTATTTTTATTTTATGGGTTTTGTGTGAATATATTTTAAAGGAAAATAACTAAAAGGTTTGGTTTTTATGTGAGTTTAGCTGGCAGTATATGTAACATTTTAATTTGTTGTTTGAAAGTAAGAAATGTGAGGTTTACTTGGAAATAAAGTTAATGTTTTTGTTGTAAATGCTAGGAAAATTACCATCTATGTTAGTGTTGTAGTTTGTTCTTGAGTGTTATGTGAGTTTAATCATACAATCTTGAGTTTTCTTTATTATTAATAAGGATTGGTTTGAGACTGGATATGAGGTTTTGGCCCTAAGTTGGTTGCTTATAAAATTGAAGAAAAGGCAAGAAATTGGAGTTTGAGATTTCATATCTGACGTTATAACGGTTTTTGAAAAGGAAGAATGTAGAAACTAAAAACCATCATAATTAAGATTGGTGGTTTTTTCAATCTAGGCTGAGTATTTATTTATTTATTTACTTTGTTGGTGCAATAAAATGAGTATATGGTAGGAACTGATGTTGTAATTTGGGAAGCTATTTGCAACTTCGGGCTCTATGTGAATATCGCTGTTAGTGTAATATTCTTGTTGGACTATTTTTTACATGCATATTGGTAGTTTTAGGCTTATTTAATGAACCTATTAAGTCTTAACCTGAATCTTAATGTTTTCTTTATTTAGATATAATAATTTGGGACCAGTGTGCTTGAAAAGAACTGAAGCAATGGTTGCTTCAGATGTATATCCAACCGAAGATGCCGTGGATGTATGTTTAACTAAAGATGATATGGATGTATGTCCTACTGAAGATGCCATTCATGCATTCTTGGAATACTTGGTAGATCCAATGCTACCAGCAAAATCTTCAATGCGGGATACTTTATCACAATCTCAAAAACAATCAATGGCAAAACAGGTTTTCTTTTCTTACTTTCTTGAACGCACATTTGATATTCTCCCGTTCTAAATCCTTCACTGTGAGTTTCATCTTGACCTTTTGCTTGTTTAGTGCTGAACCAGAATGTTTTATTTGCTTATTTGTTGCATGCTATTCTTATATCAAGGATTTTATATTTCAAATATCTTAACTTTAATAATCTACATTTACAAACTACTTAAAAGAAGTAAAACTTCTCCATAAACTAGTAAAAGTATTTTTTTTTTTTTCCAGTTTTAATTTGCATTTTTGTGTAAATCATGTGATCTACATCTTGTTTGGTTATCTTGGGGCAAAGGATATGATAGCTGCAGTTTAGAATCTTTGATAGTTAGAATTTAATGGTTTTACTTGGATGTATGTCAAGTATTGTTATGTTGTGAGAGGCCCAAAACATATCTGTTGGTTTCCATATGAAACATTACAGATTTATGTGTGTTTGTTAATGGGAAAGACATTTATTTTTTCAGCTAATTTAGCTGTTGTGAATTCTGTGGCATTTTCTTTCTTTGGATTGCATCAAAAGAAAGAAAAGTAGGGAGGACATATGATTTTTTTTGCTTGAAGAAATTTTCCTCCAAGAAAGCTGTAATCAAAAGTTGGTTAGGCTGGTATTTGGTAACCTTATGCCTGGCCAGCTCGGTTAGGAAATCCGTAAAGGAATTTAAAAAGATTTATGTGAGGCAGCCTGACCAAATTGGTGGAACTCTGAGCAAAGTAGACACTTGGTATGATTAACTGTTATGTTATCAACTGTATCTATAATTTTACATTTACATGCTTGTGAGCTCTGGATAACTACAAACAGGATTACATGGATCTTTAACAACAACTCTGTTGATTACATTTCTATGTAGTGTTAACACCTTACATTATAAAATTACTTAAACGAATATTATCTAGTGAAAAATGAAAACATTTCACTTAGTTGTATAATCTTGGTTGTCATAGTTATACCTCTGTTTTATTGGATACTTGTTTTACTCTTTAAAGTTTTTCTTTAATTTTTGTTTTTGGGTGAATTCATATTGTTTAGGTTCATGCGGTGGTGTTACTGTACAACTACTACCATAGGAAACAACACCAGCATCTAACATTTGAAGGTTTTGAGTCATTTTGCAAGTTAGCTGTAGTTCTGAGACCAGCTTTACTAACACATTTGAAGCTCTTGCTAAGATCTGATGATTCTGAATTAGATGACCTGGAAAAACAGATTTCATTGACAGAGAAGGCAGTTATGGATGCATGTGATATAGCCAAGACTTTAGATGCATCAAAAGATGTTCCAATCATAGAAAAATGGCCAATTTCAAAAATTGTGATTTTTCTAATTGACATATGGAAGGAGAAATGTTTTCTGCAATTCAGTTCCATTACTCAAGGGGTTTGGTCAATGATTGAAAAAGATTTTAATCCCTCTAGTTGCATTTCAGAAAGTGTGATGGAGGGAAAAGGTAAAGCAAAGAAGATAAAATTAACTAAAAGACCTGTGAGAGGTGAATTGGGTGCTGATGAACTTTCCTTTCAGCAACTTGCATTTTCAGCTGTTAAGGAAGTAACTGGTATGTCATCTTCCCAATAAATCATCTAGTTCGATCTATATATCAATTTAGGTCGGGAAGTATAAGATCTTCTAATTTCTTTTATATTTGTTTATATGCTTTAAAACTAACTCTTTTTTTTCTTATAAGAAATGTTGAACAGATTTCATTTTTTTCTTTTTATAGGACTGAACTATTTTATTTACTCATTAATAAAAGAAAGTTTCAGGATATTATAAATAAGGCAGCTGTGAACCCAGCAGTGTGCTGTGCAGAACTGAAAACTAAGAATAAACTGAAGAAGCTGAACAAAAATATTAGACTAGAACTCTATACCAATTTCTAAAAATGAAGAAAAGGATTTTCTGAAATGGTTTAGCCATCGATACCCACAGAGAAGCTAAAGATCGAACTTTGTCCAGTGAAAGCCCTAATCTTGCCACTGCTAACATTCTCAAAAATCATTCTAATCCAGTCAAGCCAACAATAGTCTTGTAGCCAGTAGCTTTCCAATTTACAATGAATTAGAAAATTGAATATCTGGTAGCTGTTTCAGGTAAAGTCCCAATAAATCTCTATTTGGTACTGTTGAACCAATTTTTAATAATCTGATCTATGCTGCAAAACTCTAATATGGACTATGCTCCTGTGTTGAATTGAATTACTGACTTGGATATATCAATATAAACTATTTTTTATTTAGAAACTTCTTTTATTTCCCAGCATGACTTTTAAGCATCCGACATGAAACATTTGAACTGGCTTTACACTGTGACAGGTCCTTTCTACATCATACATGATAATTTGTCTTCCTAAAATGTTAAATTTTGTTGATCAAATGTTGGGAACAATTTTTTTAGGTTTTTTGTGTAATCCTTGTTTCCAAAGCAGCAACTTAAGGAGTATCATTGATAAAAAGAATTTCTATAGTAGCAAAAGGAAATGAATAACAGAAGAAAAACTTTATTGATCTCCTTGAGGTTTAGTTAAAATACAGGCACAACCTTTGGAGAAGTCCTTAAAGTTCTATAAAATCTGTCAGGAGCTTTACTTGCAAGAGCTGTCTATGCCTATTTTTTAACCTAAATAGGTCCGCATGTAATTAGGTTAAGATAAGATACCAAAAAGATACATGCTATGAAGCTTTAATCTGAATTGAGCCAATGAGTTCAGAGCTGCCAAGGTGGATCAAATTTCGGGTTTTTGATACATGTCAAAGCCAACAGAGCGTTACATCAAGCCAAAGAAAAGGCTAGCCCTTGTCAAAAGCTAGATTAATGGTTATTATGGAGCTTGCAACTCAACATGATATCTTAGACACATCTTAGATTTAGATATGCATCACTTTCTCTATACAGATTTGTATTTTTGTCATTTTTTGTTTACGTTATTAAGCTTATACACCAATGTTTAACTTACAAATTCATAGAATAATTTATCTTTAAAAGCTATCAGCTTTTTTTCATTTATTTCATGTGTGCTTGTATTCAACCAAGTGATCGATTTTTTAATATTATAAACTTAATGGCTGCTTCATGACCTCTGCATGCTTGTAATATCTTGCCCCATCTACCAAATAATGTGCACTTCCTGGATGAAGTATAGTTTCTAAGTAAATTATTATATCTTTTTGCCTTTAATTTGTTAAAGTTTTAAAGGACTTGATAATCTTTGTACATGGAACAGGATTTAATGAAAGTGATCTCACAATTTTGGGAAGTGATGTTGTATACTCTCTAAGTAAAGAAAAGACAGCTGCTCGTTTCTATATGATGCAATTCACCCAACCAAAGAAGGATGATAAAATCGAAATTCCTATTGAAGATGTTATTGACAGGTTTGGTCTAGTCTGACTTTTTCTAGCTAATCATGCAACAACTTGTTCCTGATTCTAGTCTATTTTGGTTCCATCTGGGAAATTTTCTGCAATTCTTAACCCAAAGAAATTCTATTTCTCTATTTACTTTTCTGTTTGATCTCTTGCTTATTCTTAAACATGTTAATACATTTTATAGGTACTTATTTTAGGCCCCCCCACCCCCAACCCTACAACCAAGGTTTATGAAATTATTCTGCACCCATGTTGTTCGGTAGACATTAACACTTTTTCATTAATCTAAACAGAGTAGGGTAAAAGAGTAAAGCAAGTAAAAGGAGACAAATTGATAGTATATTGGGTTTGTTACGTTAAACCCATGAGGTTTCCTAGAAATAAATGAACCCCATCAAGTTTTTGATATAACTCTGAAACACGATTACTATATTTAAATAATTGGAGAAACTTCCATTATTAAAGATTAAATGTTTGGATAATATAATTTTTTGTTTGTTTTGATTTAATTTGTTTGAATTGTTGAATGATATAATGATTTTCGATATATTCTTTGTTTGTTTCTTTTTCTTATTTAGGTTTCTTGATTTCTAGATTATATATTGTAAATTGGGTCAAGTTTTTTATGCATTTATGTATGGTTAATTTTGCATTTTATTGTTTAGTAAAATGATTGAATTATTTTTGTGTTGGATAAGGGTATATATGACATTTCTTTAGTTGGTTGACGTCAAATCTCTATTAGCAACTAACTACAAGGGGTGTAGGTAAATTCAAAAACCCAGGGGGTTTATATATTCAAGGATAGTTGGGGGCTTAAAGTGATTTTCCCTATATTTGATTGTGTTTCAGAGTTAGTTCAAAAACTTGAGTGGTCAGTTTTTTTCAAGGAAACCCCAAAGGGTTAATAGTTTAACATGATAACCAAAATACATTATCAATTTTGTCTTTTTTTTTTTTTAATTTGTTTTTACTCTTTTACCCCTGATCCATTGAAACTAATGAAAAAGTGTTAACGTTTGACTGATGATAGAGGGTGCAGTATAATTTCAAAAACCTCATTTAAAACTAATGATAGAGGGTGCACTATAATTTCAAAAACCTTAGTGGTTTATCATCCTCTTAAGGAAAACTCAGAGGGATAAAATGTTATTACCCCTACATTTATATTATCCTTTAGTGCTTATATATAACTCTGAAAAATGTTGTATGTTGGCTTTGACTTATTGTGTGCCAGCTTTAAATATGCTACTTCAAAATGGTAGTCAATTATGATGTAGTTACTTGGTACGGAAAAGTGCGCACTTGAAAATGACTGCATTTGACACCTTATAGTATGTATGTGTGCTTGCCATTTGTGGATGAACGATTGAGAGGGATGAAAACTAATTCAATTGTGGGCGTTTGGATTCACCTCATTGCTTTAAACAGTAAATCTTTCTGGCCATTAGTGCACCAGTTTTAAAATCTATAAACAACTACATATCTTTGGTAGTTCTTTGATGAGATTTTTAAACACTATTGATATCACTATGAAAAGTTGTGTTTGTCTCTTATTTGATAATAGTTGATAACATGGGAGAGCATAAATATTGATTTTCCCTACCTTGTGGACTATCTACTACATAGCTTTCAGGCGTAGTGATTTTTTTTACTGCCAAGCTTTTAAATTTTTCTAGTGCTCTTCAAATTTCATGAGAATGATTGATGTTATTGTTAATATAACTAAAAGAACATAGATGAGTTGATTATGGTCTTTGCGAGAATACTTTTGTGTTAGACCATGAGTGATTAATCCTCCCATTGCTAACTAATTATATTGGTTATTGCGTAGGCCCTCTAAATAGTTGTCTTATCTCATCGAGACTGTGTTTGCATTAATGCGTTACAAAACCCATTATCAAGGGTTTTGGATAGTTTTCCTAGGGGGTTTTTGATTATTAAATTGATCTGTTAGAGAGATTTGTAATCTAGAAACATTAGGTGTCTTTAAAATTAAGCAATCTCTTAAAGAGGTGTGATACCAACCCTTTGTTTTATAAATGACTTCTTAATAACAATTTTTTTTTTTTTTTAATTCTTAATTATTTGGACTATTGTTTTGTGTTAGACTGGTGATTTCTTTGTTCTGCTTTTACTGTTTTTCTAATGGGTTATGTGGTGGACTATTGGTTTACTTTCTGTTTCCTCTATTTGTTAAAATTGCTAAAGCTTATGTATTATTGTCGGACCATCATCGACTAACTTAAGCTTTTGGGTCGAGTAGTTACTTACAACAATATCGAAGACAAGTTGACCAAGTAGATTTCTTGTTATGGTTGTGTTTGTGTTTGTGCTTGTGCTTTTTGTTTTTCCATTTGTAAGTTCATGTGGTTGGATGTGTTAAGAGCTTAAATAATATTGTCGGACTCTTTTTTCTTAAGTGTTTGAGTCAAATGATTACTTAACGAAAAGTCTTTGCTATTTCTTATTTTTCTTCTTCATCGTCACTGCAATTTTTTTTTAGTAAATTTCCCAATGAAAGATTTTGTCCCTGCAATTTGATAGCCTGCAGGGCCCTTTAGTGACAACGAATTCGCAACAATGGAAAGTTACCCCAGTTGTCAAATATTTTCATCTGCTTCCTTATGCTGGGACTATGTCAGAATGGTTTTCTAGGTGTGTGAATCTTTTTTTTTTTTTTTTTTTTAGATTATCATCATCCCTGTGTTATTAATATAAAATGAATGAGTTATCTGCTTCAAGTGGATTTTCCAGAAAATTTTCCATTGAAATGCACATGTGCTTCAGTGTGCACAAGAAGACCACTTCTCAAGATTCAGTGCCATAGAGTTCTTAGTTTTCGGATTTTTGATTTAGAGATTATGCAGGATCTGATAAAGTGAAAATGCTATTGTCTTTCTCAGGGGAGTGCTTTCTAATGAATTATGAGATCGAAAGTCGGGATCGGAAGGCATAAAATTTTAGCAGTTCTGAGATGAAAGAACCTCATGAACCAGAAATTTGTAATAACCAAGATGGACCAACCTCCTACAGACATTGATGGAGTGAAGTCTCCCGGAAGCAGCTCAGATTTTGATACTTGAAACCACGACAGGCAGACAGGAATGGAAGTTCCAGGGATCATTTATCTGGTGATTGTGGTGAGCCCCATAGTATGAAAAGGAAACGAATTTAAGGAAATAATCATTAAGGGTTTATTTTGTTTTAATTTATTTTTCTCTGTGAGATCCTTTAAAATGATTTGTTATGGAAGTATTAATCCTTATCAGTGCGTTGGTTTTAATATTTCATACCCTATTCCCTATTCTATTCCTAAAATACTTGTTTGTTTAATCAATAATGCTTTGCTTACTCACGAACTTACTAATCGTCTTACTCACCTTTGTAAATATAAAGCATAGTATGGGTACCATAAGCATAGTATGGATACTATATGTTATTTTAACAAAGGTGAGTAAGACGGTTAGTAAGTTCATGAGTAAGCACAATATTATTGTTGTTTAACAAAGGTGAGTAAGACGGTTAGTAAGTTCATGAGTAAGCTCCAACTATTCAAGTTAAGCTAAGCTCGATCACACCCCTAGTATGTGAGTATTAGTTTGAGCAATCTCACGGGAGAAACAAAAAGACTCAGCAATCTAAGAAATAAACCAACTATATATTTCCCCTTTATATTTATTTTGTAACGAGCTTTATTATGATAAGAGTTATAATTAATATTTGATTCCAAAGTATCAATCAGTTGATTCATATTCTATTTAAGAAGAATTTAAAGGAAATGTTCTTTTATTAATTAGTTTTTTGTTCTTTGAATTATTGAAAATATGGAAAAATGGATCTTCATTTGATCTTTATAAGCCGTAAGGAGATGAAATGGAATGTTGTGTAGATCGAATGAAAAAATCATATGTGAGAGAGCCATCGAGGTTAAAGTTTTATGTAAATTTTGTTTAGAAAAGAGAAAATGTTTACTCAATTTCATAATTTTATGATAACAGAAAGAAAAACATAAAGAAATAAGTATTTTCCAAAAAACACATGATCTTGTATTTATATTTCTCATTCCAGAGCATATTATACCAAAGAGATATAAAAAATGCAAAAAATGAAAATATAAAAAATATGAAATTTATCACTTCCAAACCAATAAATTCTTTTCAAATTACTACTTATTTTATTCGTCTCAAAGTGTTAAAAGGAAATGTTTTTGTAGAAGACAGAGAAAAGAAAAAACATAATAAATTATTCAAATATTAATTTTATATAAAAAAAAAAAATATTGTGGGGCTTAAAATGTTTAAATGTTGATTTTATAAATTTAAAACACGCGGGAAATAGAATATATAATGAAAATACTCAAATATAATTTTATATAAAAAAGTGGGGCCTAAATTCAATTTCATTCCTTCACTTTTCAACGTTTCTACTTTTTACTGTCGGTAAAATGGGAAAATCATAAATGAACCGAGTTTTTTAACTCTTTTTTTACAACAAAATGAAAAAACGAAAAGGATTGGGGATAAAGGTAAACGAACAGACCCTCAGACACTCAGAGTTCCTTAGAATATAAGATGACATTTTTACCCTTTAATCAAATCCTAATAATCACCCAAAATTATTAATTTCACACTCATAAGTTTTTTGTTTTTGTTTTTTTATAGAATTTTAATTATTTACCGAACAAACTTTATAAGAATTTCACATTCACACCAAACAAAATTTCATCAACTTTTCTATGAATTACCCTTTTTTTGAATTTGTTTATAGTTTTGTGTATCATATTATAAAAAGGGTTCCAGATTTATTCTTTGTATAATAAATAACAAGATTAGAATTGTTTTTTTTTTTCAACGGTCAAAGTTAATCAAATGTAAAACAATAAAACTACACTTATAACTTTTTATACAATTTTAAGGTGATAGTTTATGATTGGTCAGTTTACACTTGGATAGAAAGAATTTACTGTGAGTTGATCAATCGCGAACTGCCGCATTAAAGTTATATAAAAAAGTTGTAAATGTAATACTATTCTTCCTAAAATAAAAGGTAAAAAAATGATTTAAGACAAAGATAGGGGCCCAAAATAATTCACACTTCTTGAGTAGAAAAGCAAAAATTACAGCCTGTAAATGTAATTTACAGGAATGCGATTGGGTGAAAGGTGATTTTAAATTTCACTTTTTTCCACCCAAGTTTGGCCGAATGACCCTTTCGCATCTATGATGTTTCAAAATACAACTTTACCCCCTATGTCAAAACCCATCCGTCAAGTTTATCTAAAAAAGGACATAATAGTAAATTCAAAAAGGGGTGATTACGTTAATTTATTCCCTGTATATTAACTTCAAAAAAAAAAGGGGCCCAAATTTTACTTTCTTCTACACACTACCGTCTTCGGTCGATTTGGCCGGAATTCGCCGTCGTTGGCTTTCCCCGTCACCACCACAAGTTTCCCCGATCTTCTCTGACCAAAACCCCCTTGATCCCCGCATATTTCAACCCACCGTTGCCGGCCACCGCAAGTTAGGTTTCGCTGTTTCTAAGCCGATTTCCCCCTGATTCCGGCGGCCAAAACCCAATCTTCTACCACCACTACAACCTCCGACCTCCACTCTACAAAAACTCTCAAACCCCAGGACCTGGTTACTCGCCGTTCGTGGCCGTGAACCGTCACCTTTCACCGCGGCTGGGTTTTGCGATTTGATTGTTTTGGAACTTTTTTGAAGCATTTTGATTGTTGTTCTGGTTGTTTTGGTCCTGTGGGTGTGTTGAGTTGCGTTTGTTGGCTTGATTTGGGTGTTTTTCCTGGTTTTTCCACCTTCCCCAGCCATTGCCACTTCTTCTCCTCTCGGGCGCACAGCAGGTGCTCGATGAAAAGCCCAACCAGCGAATGGGCCGGAATTGCAACCGGAACCAGAGGCGACGAAGAGAAGAATAAGAGAAAAGGTATTTTCGTCTTTACACCGTTTATACCATTTCAGTTAACGGATTTTCTTAACAGAACATAACGGTGGGTGGGAAAAGTGTCGTTTTAAAACTTGATGGGTGGGATAATGTTATTTTGAAACTTGACGGGTGGGAAATGTTATTCGGCCAAACCTTGGGTGGGAAAAAGTTGTTTACTCTTTAACAAAAACCAAAACACTGACAAATATTACATGGCATTGCACTATATAATGCTTCTCTTTTTCAAGAGAGCTTTGAAGAAAATTACTTAATCGGTAAAAATATACAATCAGTCTCTTTCAGTTTCCTTCTTTGCATTGGTGTAAAACCCTGATAAAATTTTATATTTACTGCTCATTTTGATCAATTTTTATTTTTTTATTTTTTTGGCTTTCATTTGTCTAGTGTGTCTGGATTTTGCTTGAATTTTATTATAAAATCTTCAATTAAATTGTATCGTTTGATTTGATTTTTGGTTTCTCTGAATGGGTAAATTGAGACTTAAAGCTTGGTGGTTAGTGAAGTANACCAAAACACTGACAAATATTACATGGCATTGCTCTATATAATGCTTCTCGTTTTCAAGAGAGCTTTGAAGAAAATTACTTAATCGGTAAAAATATACAATCAGTCTCTTTCAATTTCCTTCTTTGCATTAGTGTAAAACCCTGATAAAATTTTATATTTACTGCTCATTTTGATCAATTTTTATTTTTTATTTTTTTGGCTTTCATTTGTCTAGTGTGTCTGGATTTTGCTTGAATTTTATTATAAAATCTTCAATTAAAGTGTACTGTAGTTCGTTTGATTTGATTTTTGGTTTCTCTGAATGGGTAAATTGAGACTTAAAGCTTGGTGGTTAGTGAAGTAGTTTGCTTTGTGTGTTGGAATTGTGTTATCCAATGTTGAATGTGGTGAATTGGTTGAGCTTATGTTTGTTTTATGGGTTTTGTTTTAATATTCTTGAAAGGAGAATAACTAAAAGGTTTGATTTTTATGTGAGTTTAACTGGCAGCAAATGGAACATGTTTTTTGGTTGTTTGAAAAGTAAGAAATGTGAGGTTTATTTGGAAATAAAGTTAATGTTTTTGTTGTAAAGAAAATCCAACATTGCATGACTAAATAAAAACAACATTCAAAAACAAACTACAACACTGACAGTTGTAAGTAAGGATTGGTTTGAAAATGGATATGGGGTGTCAGCCTTGTCTTGGTTGCTTATAAAATTGAAGAAAAGGCAAGAAATTGGAGTTTGAGATTTCATATTTGATGTTATAACGGTTTTCGAAAAAGAAGAATATAGAAACTAAAGGCATCATAATTAAGCTTGGTGGTCTTTTCAATCTAGGCTGAGGATTTTTTTTTTTTTTTTGGGTGCAATATAATAGGTGTATGGGGTAGCAACTGATGTTGTAATTTGGGAAGGTATTTGCAACTTTGGGCTACTTGTAATTATGGCTGTTAGGCTTATTTAATGAACCTGTTAAGTCTTAACCTGAATCTCAGTGTATTCTTTGTATAGATATAATAATTTCGGGACAAGTTGTGCTTAACTGAAGCAATGGTTGGTTCTAATGTATGTCCAACTGAAGGTGCCATGGTTATATGTCCGACTGAAGAGGCCAAGGATGTGTGTCCAACTGAAGATGCCATTCATGCGTTCTTGGAATACTTGGTAGATCCAATGCTACCAGCAAAATCTTCTATGCGGGATACTTTATCACAATCTCAACAACAATCAGTTGCAAAACAGGTTTTCTTTTCTTACTTTCTTGAACGTACATTTGATGTTCTGACTTTTTAAATCCTTCACTGTGGCTTTCATCTTGACCTTTCACTTGTAATGCGGAGCTAGAATGTTTTATTTGCTTATTTGTTTCATACTCTTCTTATTTCAAAGAATTTATATCATCAATTATGTTAACTTTAACAATCTTCATCTACAAAGAACAAAATTTCTCAATAAACTACTAAAAGCATATTTCTTTGTTTTCCAGTTGTGATTTTCAATTTTGTTTAAGTCATTTGATCTGCCTCTTGTTTGGTTATCTGGGGGCAAAGGATATGATATCTGCAGTTAGAAACTTTGGTAGTTAGAATTTAATGGCATTACTTGGATGTATGTCAAGTATTGTTATGTTGTGAGAGGCTCCAAAAAATGTATGTTCCGTTTCCCCATGAAATATTATATATTTATGTGTGTTTGTTTATGGGAAAGAGATTTATTTGTTTTAGCTAATTTAGTTGTTGAGAACTCTGTGGCATGTTCTTTCTTTGAGTTGCATCAAAAGAAAGAAAAGTGGGAGGTCATTAATTTTTTTTTTTCTTCAAGAAATTTTCCTCCAAGAAAGCTTTAATCAAAACTTGGTTAGGCTTGTATACTAGTAACCTGAACCGTGGCCGGCTTGGTTATAGAATCTTTGAAAAAATATAAAAAGATTTATGTGAGGCAGCCTGACCAAATTGGGGGAACTCTGAGCAAAGTAGACATCTGGTATGATTAAATTGTTTTGTTATCAGCTGTATCTTCAATTTTCCATTTACATGCTTGTGAGATCTGGATAACTACAAACAGGATTACGTGTATCTTTAACAACCACTCTGTTGAATTGTATTTCTATGTAACTTTAACAAGTTACATTATAAAATTAATTTTAGTAATAATATCTAGTATAATCTTGGTTCTCATAGTTATAACTCTATAATATATTTGATACTTGTTCACTCTTTAAATTTTTTCTTTATTTCTTTATTTATTTTTTGTGTGAATTCATCTTATTTAGGTTCATGCTGTGGTGTTACTGTACAACTACTACCATAGGAAACAACAACAGCATCTAACATTTGAAGGTTTTGAGTCTTTTTGCAAGTTAGCTGTGGTTATGAGACCAGCTCTGCTAACACATTTGAAGCTCATGCAAAGATCTGATGATTCTGAATCGAATGACCTGGAAAAACAGATTTCATTGACAGAGAAGGCAGTTATGGATGCATGTGATATAGCCAAGACTTTAGATGCATCAAAAGATGTTCCAATCACAGAAGGATGGCCAATTTCAAAAATTGTGATTTTTCTAATTGATGCAAGGAAGGAGAACTGTTTTCTGCAATTCAGTTCCATTACTCAAGGGGTTTGGTCAATGATTGAAAAAGATGTTAATGCCTCTAGTTGCATTTCAGAAGGTGTGATGGGGGGAAAACATAAAGCAAAAAAGATAAAAGTAACTAAAAGACCTCTGAGAGGTGAATTGGGTGCTGATGAACTTTCCTTTCAGCAACTTGCGTTTTCAGCTGTTAAGGAAGTAACAGGTATGCCATCTTCCAAATGCACCACCTAGTTAGTTATATGTATTAATTAAGGCTTGGGAGTATAAGTTCTTCAAATTTCTTCTAAACTTGTTTATATGCTTTAAAAATAACTTCTTTTTTTTCATAAGAAATGTTGAACAGATTTCATTATGCTTGATAAGTATTTCCTTCTTCTAATTTCTTCTACACCGTGACAGGTATTTCCTTTCTACATCATCCACGATAAGTTGTCTTCCTAAATTGTTAAATTTTGTGGCTCAAATGTTGGGAACAAATTTTTTAGTTTTTTTATGTAATCCTCGTTCCAAAGGAGCAACTTAAGTAGTGTCATTGATAAAAGAATTACTAGAGTAGCAAATGCTAATGAAAAACTTAAGGAAAAACTCCATTGAGCTTATTGAGGTTTAGTTAAAATACAGGCACAACCTTTGGAAACATCCTTACAGTTTATAAAATCTATCAGGAACCTTTCTTGCAAGAGCGGTCTATGCCTATTTCTTAAGCTAAATAGGTCTGCATGTAATTAGGTCAAATCTTTGGGGTAATGAATTAAATTTTCCTATGGGCCATGACAGCAGATAAAATAAAGCCCCCAAAAGTGATAAAAGATCAAGAGAATACAAAATCCTAATAGGAATTAAAAATAACAATATTTTGGAATCCCTAACAAATGTTGAAGAAGTAATCTCTGAATCCTTAGGAGTTGTCAGCAGAAGAGTTTTAGATAGGTAATTGCCAGAAGAGTTTTAGATAGGTAATTGCCGTGTTTGCTAAGGCATGGGCTGCAAAGCTTCTTATATATGATATCAAAAAGATGCATGCAATGAAGCTTTAATTTGCATTCAGCCACTGAGTCCAGAGCTTCCAAGGTGGATCAAATGTGGGGTTTTGGATACATGTCAAAGCCAAAGAAATGGCTAGTTCCTGTCAAAAGCTAGTCAATGGTCATTAATGGAGCTTGCAACTCAACATGATATCTTAGAAACATCTTAGATTAAGTTATGCACTACTTTCTCTACACAAATTTGTATTTTTGTCATTATTTGTTTACGTTAATAAGCTATAAACCAATGTTTAACTTACAAATTGATATAACAATTTATCTTCAAACGCTATCAGCTTTTTTCCGTTTATTTCATGTGTGCTTGCATTCAACCAAGTGATCCATTTTTTAATATTATGAACTTAATTGCTGCCTCATGCCCACTGGATGCTTGCAATATCTGGCCCTATCTTCCAAAATCTAAATATTATGAACTTCATGCTTCTTCGATAAAGTGTAGTTTCTATGTAATTTATTATATCTTTTCGCCTTCTATTTGTTAAAATTTCAAGGACTTGATAATCTTTGCATATGATCTTTGTATATGGAACAGGATTTACTAAATGTGATCTTAAAATTTTGGGGAGTAATGTTGTGTACTCTCTAAGTAAAGAAAAGGCAGCTGCTCGTTTCTATATGATGCAATCGACCCAACCAAAAAAGGATGATAAAATCGAAATTCCTATTAAAGATGTTATTGACAGGTTTGATCTAGTCTTGCCTTTTCTAACTAAATCATGTAGTTTGATCTAGTCTGACTTTTTCTAACTAAATCATGTGGTAACTTGTTCCTGATTCTAGTTCTATTTTGGTCCCATGTTGGAAATATTTTACGATTCCAACCCCGAAAAAAAATTCTATTTCTTCTTTTAGTTTTTTGTTTGATTTATGGCTTATTCTTAAACATATTAATTCATTTTATGGGTAATTATTTTAAAACACACCAAGTTTTCCTTAGAATAATATACTTCCCGAGGTTTATGAAATTATTCTGCACCCGTGTTGTTAGTTAGACATAACTCTTTTTCATTAGTTTAAACAGAGTGCTGTAAAAGAGTAAAGCAAGTAAAAAGAGGCAAAATTGAAATATATTGGGTTTATTACGTTAAACCCCCTGGAGTTTCCTTGGATTAAATGAACGCTGTCAGGTTTTTTATATAACTCTAAAACACCGAATTGTTGAATGATTAAAAATGTTTGGGTAATTGATTTTTTTTTTTTTTTTTTTGTCTGTGTGTGTTGAATGATATAACAATTTTGGATATATTCTTTGTTTGTTTCTCTTTCTTATTTGGGTTTCTTGATTTGTAGATTATATATTGTAAATTGGCTTTCAAGTTATTAATTGCATTTTATTATTTGGTAAAATGATTGAATTAATTTTGCCTTAGATAAGGGTATATATGACATTTTGGCTGACATCAAATCTCTCTATGTATTAATGGAAACTACGTACAGGGGGTGTAGAATAATTTCAGAAACCTGGGGAGTTTATATATGAAGGATTGTTGGGGGGCTTAAAGTAATTTTCCTTCTAGTTAACTTTGTTTCAGAGTTAGTTCAAAACCTCGAGCAGTTAATTTTTTTTCAAGGAAATTAACAGTTTAGCGTAATAACCTATATTCATTATCAATTTGGTCTTTTCTTTTTCCTTTTTCCTTTTTTATAACTCTTTTACCCCCAATCTATTCAAACTAATGAAAATTGTGTTAACGGTTGAGTAATGATAGAGGGTATAGTATAATTTCAAAAACCTCAGTGGGTTATCATAGTCTGAGGAAACCTCAGAGGGCTGAAAGTAATTACCCTTATATTATATTATCCTTTAGTTATACATGGCTCTGAAAAAATTGTATGTTGGCTTTGACTTCATGTGTGCCAACTTTAAAGCTGCTACTCCAAAATGGTAATCAATTATGATGTAGTTTCTTGGTACAGAGAAGTGCATACTTGAAAATGACTGCATTTACACCTTATAGCATGTATTTGTTTGCCATCAAGTTGTGGATGGACTGAGATGGATGAAAGCTAATACAACTGTGGGCGTTTGGATTCACCTTATTGCTTTAAACAATAAATCTTTCTGGCCATTAGTGTACCGCATTTAGAATTGGGTTTATAACAAAAATCCCCTCAGGTATAATCAAATAACGCCCCTGTATTTGTAGTAATAACAGGAATCCCCCTACCGTCTAGTTTTTGGTGTTAAAATAAAAGGCAGAGGGGCAAATTCGTAAATATATTAATGACGCATTATGTTATAAATTCTAATGGCACATTAACAGCTCACTATCAATGGGGGGTTTCTGTTATTTCTGAAATCTCAGGGGACTTTGTTACTTGATTAAACCTTAGGGGGGCAAGAGAAGCTCTTTAAAATTTATGAACAACTGTATATCTTAGTTAGTTCTTTGATTAGACTGTTAAACACTATCGATGCCACTGTGACAAGTTGTCTGTTTGTCTTTTTTAATAATAGTTGATAACATTAGAGAACATAAATATTGATTTTCATACCTTGTGGACTATCTACTACATAGCTTTCAGGTGTAGTCACTTTTTCTACTTCCAAGCTTTAAAATTTTTCTAATGCTCTTCAGATTAATCATGCAATCTTCAGATTTAATATAACTAAAAGAACATAGATGGGTCTATTATGGTTTTTCCAAGAATACTTTGTGTTGAACCTTAATTAGGCACCATAAGTGATCAACCCTCACATTACTAACTAGTAATATTGGTTATTACATAGGCCCCATAAATAGTCGTCTAATTTAATCGAGACACAGTGTTTAGATAAAGCGTTACACACCTCATTATCAATGGTTTTTGATACTTTTCCCTGGGGGTTTTTCATAATTAAATTGATCTCTTTAGAGAGATTTGTAATACTTTCTTGAAACATTAGGTTTCGAAAAAATTAAGCAATCTCTTAAGGTGGTGTTATAACAATCCTTTGTTATGTAAATGGCTTCCGTGATGCAAAAGTTTCAGGAAATTATTATATTATATTATATTTTTAATTCTTAATTATTTGGACTATTGTTTTGTTTTAGCTTGGTGGTTTCATTGTTTTGCTTTACTGCTTTTCTAATGGGTTATGTGGTGGACTATTGGTTCACTTTCTTTTTCTTTTATTTGTTAAAATTGCTAAAGCTTTTGTATTATTGTCGGACCGTCATCTATTAGCTTAAGCCATCAGGTTGAGTAGTTACTTACAATAACATCAAAGACAAGTGACCAAGTAGATTGGTGGTTATCGTTATGGTTGTGCTTGTGCTTGTTGTGTTCCACGTGCAAATTCATATGATTGGATGTCTTTGTTATTTCTGCTCAATTATCACTGCAATTTTTATTTTTTATTATTTTTTTTTCTAATGAAACATTTTGTACCTGCAATTTGATAGCTTACAAGGCCCTTTATTGGTGAAGAATTCGCACCAATGGATGGTTACCCCGGTTGTCGAATACTTTCCTCTGCTTCCTTATGCTGGGATTGTGTCAGAATGGTTTTTTAGGTGTGTGAATCTTTTTTCAGATTATCAACATCCCTGTGTTCTAAAATAGAAAATGAATGTGTTATCTGCTTCAAGTGGGTCTTTCAGAAATTTTTCCATTGAGTTGCAAATATGCTTGACCACTTCTTAAGATTCAGTCCCTTAGAGTTTTTAATTTTTGGATTTTCAGTTTTACTGATTAACACATTGTGATATCATTCAGCTCATCCAAATTCAAAATGATTTATTCAAAAGTGATTTCGACTTTTTGATTAAGAGATGATGCATGATCTGACAAATTAAAATGCTATTGTCTTCCCTAGGGGAGTGCTTTGTAATGATTTGCGAGATCAAAAGATGGGATTGGAAAGCATAAATGTTAGCAGCTCTAAGATCAAAGAAGAACCTTATAAGCCAGAAATATGTAATAACCAAGATGGATCTCCTATAGACATTGATGGAGTGGAGTTTCTTGGAAGCAGCTCTGATTTTGATACTAAACCACAACAGACAGACAAGAATGGAAGTTGCACAGATAGTTTTGGTGATTGTGATGGGTCCCAGAGTATGAATTTGGATGCCTGTTGTTTGGTTAGCCTCCAAAATGAAGAAAATGGCAAGAATATTGATCCTAGAGTACAAATTGATGATCACCAAAGAAAGTTGAATTCCTGTTTGAAAACTGATTCAAATGACACAGCTGGTTTTAATATTGAGGCAAGATTTATTCATATACTTCGGCAATAGTATCTTTGTCAAAATTTTATCTGCTTTTGTCTTCTAGTTGTGGCATGTAACTCGTGTTAGTTAGTTATTGTAGTGTGTAGGATTGTGATTACTTAACATAGTCAATTTCAATTATCATAACAAAGAACTTTACCTTTTTCATTTTTAAATTTTTAAGTTCACTAAGAAGCTGCCTGAAGAACTCATCTGGTGCTGGAAACAAAAATCTCATTACAGAATCATGTTGAATGCTAAACACTTTCATGGTAGACTTTACTTTGATGTGTTAGTACCAAATCTGTACTTGAATATAAATGATTACTTCTAACTGTCAGTCAGTGTCTTAACTTTATTTTGGTCAATTTATTATTCTCCCATCAGTGTTTTTCTCATTAATTCTTCTTTCCCATCATGTGCATAACCATCACCACCTTATCACTGCCAACCTTGAGGAATTTTGATAGTTATGAGTCCATGGAGAGAGCCTGAAGTGTTGATAGAAAAAAAAAAAATGAGTCTCACCAGATGTTCGTTAACTTTCAAGGAGCTCTTGAAAAACCAAGACCTTTTTTTAGATTTTCTTTTCTTTCTTATTTCTATTTTAGTTATGCGACCATAATTCTGGGTATATGCAGGCTGAGATGATTGGCTCGATGAGGATGCTATTCGATACTGAAACAAGAGGTGAAAATAGTGTTGATCAGAAAGCTACCTCTGATACCATCTATTCTGATCCACATGAGATGCCTATTGATGATGGTGATCTGGTCTCTCATCAATCAAAGTCTAAAGATCTTGAAAACCCACCAAATACCGTAGCCTCCAATGAAAACATATTGTCACAAACTGCATTGAGAGTTCTATTTGGAAGAAGGAATAAATTGGTATGACGTTCTTCTTTTGAATTCTTCAAACAATGGTCAGGAAGAATTACTCCTTTTGAATTTCACATACACAGAGATTGTGGGATTTGTAATTTGTGTGGAGTCAACAATATGTTTTCTTTGGAAAGGTATTACGTGCAGCCCATGTGTAGTCTTTGCTTGAAATGGACCAATTAGGTGACCACAACACAGAAGTTGACTAATTCTATGTTGTGCTGTTTTATAACTCACTGAATTGAAAACATTGTTGATGGGACATTCTCAATCATCACTTCTAATGATTTCTGACTATTGATTTCCTAGTTGGATTATAAAATGGTGTCATTCTGCTATATGTTGTAGTTGCCCTCGACATAATTTGTTCATCTGTAGACATAATTTTTCTTCCAAAGTTTGAACTTTAAAAAGCATTATACTGTCTCTTTTTGCTTGTCTACAGATTCTTCAGCAACGCAATATAGAGGATGAGATTGCTTTGTATAATAAAAGAATCCAGACACTTTTGAATGGTATGTTTTTCTTTCAGTTTTGTAATTGTTACTTCATGTTTATTGCAGCAGAGGATACGGTGAGTTACAGGCTTTGTCATAGCATTGTTTGTGAAATAAATCTTCTTAGCTTTCATATTTTCTGTTTCTCAAACTTATAGGTGGCAAAGATGATTTGGTAGTAAAGATAGAATCCATTCTAGAAGGTTGTGACGATATGTGCCTAAGAAGTCTTTCACAGGAGAGGTCTCTGCATCTTGAAAACCACTGTTCACCTCAGTCTATCAAGATGATGCGATTGTCAGAGGCTGTTCTCAATAAGCAAAACTCATGTCAGGCAAGATGTGGTGTTGGTTTCTTTGTACTTTTTTTTTCCCCTCTTTGTTCATTTCATATATTCATGGGAGGATCTTAAAAATTTAACAATTTTGACAGTCGGTGTGACGAGAAAATGGGCTTAGAAGTGCAAATAGTCCTAGCTGCCATTAATGTCTGTTTGCTTTGTGAAAAATTTTTTGTTGGGTGATTTCTCAAAGTCTAATCTATGTTGATTCGGTCCTGTAGATTCTTAGACTCTGAGATAATGTTCTTCGCTATATGCACTTGCCGGTCTTGGAAAAATGGTTGTGAATTCATGCATTGATTGTTTTGCACAGATGCTTATTCTATTTTTGTTTGTGGAGCAGGAACTGGATGATATATCATATGAGAACAATTGGATATTACCAACATATCATATATCATCATCAGATGGTAAGAATCTTTAAATTCAATTGTTACCTGAAAATTTATGCTGTATAATAAAATACTAATATATTGACTAACACAGTTAATCTCAGAAGATCTAATCTTATTGTAGCAATTGTTTACATTATCTCAGTCATTCATGATATCTCTTATTTCTTCCCGTTTAAATATGGGAACTTTGTCAAAGCAAATGAGTTTTGAAACTTCAGGATGTTTGTAAGTGACCAAATACTATGCTTCAGCAGAGCAAGGTTACCATTGCTATCGGTTGTTAATCTTAATGTTGACCATGATGCATTGTTATGTTGAATGTGGAGGAATAAAATCCTTAATAAAGCAAAAGCCTTATGTGTATAAAAAACTTTGCTATTTCGGTCATGATTTGATGTGTGGTGTGCACAATTAAACTAATGTAAGGACTATGCCAGAATTGATGTAATGTAAGTCTGTTTTTTCCTTTTCAAGGTGGATTCCGTGCAGAAGTAACTGTGAAAGGAAAGGATTTTGAGTGTTCAAGTTCCGGTGACCTGTGTTTCAGTCCTCAGGAAGCAAGACAATCTACTGCAACACAGATATTGGCCAAACTGCGGCGTATGGCAAGTGAGTCCAAATGATTTCATGTTGTTCCCTTCTCTTGAATTTCATTAGCAAAAAACAAAAATTCTATATCCTGGTATATATTTTGGATAGCTTCATAGAAATCTGGTTATAGAATATATTAGAGAGTAAATATATCCGTTTTATCTCTGCTTTTGGAAACTGTGGAATGCAAAAATACATACTGTTAGGTGCATTCCACCAAAGGAAAAGTTCTAAAACCAACTGTTAAGGATGGTGAATTGATATATAAACATTTCTTTTTGAATATTTGTTTTATATGTTTGAATGGTTTGTTGGAGTAGATTTATGGTATACAAACTAATCAGTATGAGAGGATTAATGTCTGATTTCCGAGGATAATTTCGATCAATTTACCAATTAAAAGCATATAATTAGTATTTAGGAAATAATTGTGTTTTTAAGAAATATTCTTAAGAGGGATTTCGTGTACAATTTTATTTATATGTTCATCCAATAAAATCACGTTTGAGTGAATAATTTTATCTCTCATTAAATTCTTTCTCATGTTTTACTTTAACAATAGCCAAAATACTTTTTTTGGGTTTTTGATCCTCTCTAAATTAGGTAGATCTCAAAAGAAGTGTACTCTTTTATGAATTTGTTTTGTGTTTTCTAAAAATATTTAAAAAATTATAAAGGATTTATTTTGTGGACGAATACACGTTCTTTATGTTGGTCTCAAAGCAGTATTTTAAGATTAATTATCAATTAAAAACAATCAGTTAAATATATTTCTAAATAAAATAAAAAACTATATAAATATGAAGCTTAATTTCATAAATGAATAAATCACATTTAAGAGAAATTTGAGCTTGAAGTTTGAAAAGAGAAGGGCAAGAGATTAAAACAAGTTGGATTTTATTTTATTTACTTATTTTGTTATTATTATGCAATGGCCAAAATTTGGGCCAAATGTAATAGAAACATTTTGACAATTCAACTCAGAATAAGCTATAGTGCTGAGCTGCGATTAATTTAGCCAATATTTTGGGTTTGCAAAATAAAAAGGGAAGTGATTTTTAGCAATGTTTTAAAACCCAACCCGCGGCTTTGTTTTAAAAATTGGACCGACCTGGGACTTTGCAGCTTCTCTGGTCTAGTTCAGGTTTTAGGGGGTTTTTTGTAATATTTCATAATTATAAGGGTTAATTATAATTTTATAGGGGTGTTTTGGAGATATGCCAAAATTTTAGGGATTAATTGAATTTTTTGGGGTATTTTTGAAATAAATAAAAATTTTAGGGATTAATTTGAACTTTTTAGGGGAATTTTTGTAATATATTAACATTTAAGGGATTAATATGTAATTTTTTAAAATAAAATTGTCGCTGACGTCATCGGTCCAATCGGCTGGTCCAATTGGACCGGTTGACCTGTGACCCGGGTAGCAAAACGGGTTGCCCTCTGGTCCGAATTTTAAAACAATGACCCGAGGTGAAACTCGGCAAAGTTGCTAGATCTCGGGTTGATTGGTTTAATCGGTTTGACTAGTTGGTCAAATCGAGTGACAAAACTTTTAAAATTTAGTAAATACACCCCTAAAAATTTATTAAGTCCTTATAAATTTGAAATTTATCAAACACACTCTAAATACAAATCGGCTAGCGACTGGTTAGTGGTGGCAACACCCCAAATGCAACTTCAATTGTCCCTTGAGCTCATTTCCCTAAAAATCTACTCAAAATTTGGTCGAAATAGGTTCGAGTTCGACCAGATCTCACCGATGCCGGTGTCAGCATTTCCGGTGAGTGAATCAACTTCATCACCAAAGTGTTGGTGATGAAGTTGATTCACTCACTGGAAATCAACTTCATCACCGTCACTTTCTCTTCAAACACCCAACATCTCGACCTTCAATTGTTCGTCGATTATTATCCCAATTTCTAGGGTTTTAGGTGAATAGAAAAAATGTTAACATAGCTCAGTAAGGTTAAACCGGTCGGGCTAGGCTGGGTTTTAAAACAATGATTTTTAGCTCCCACCTCGTTGATTAGTTCCCCACCTTTAAATATATTTTTGTTTTGACAAATTTAGCCTTCATTAGAATTACTAGAAATGAAATTATAATTTCTAATTACACTCATAGTTTTTTTTTATATTTTTGTTTTAATTTTTAACTTTTAATCTTACATAACCTTGACCCTAACCCTAAATTATTATAATCATTGAAACCCTTTATTTTATTTCAAATATTTGTTTGTTTGATGAAAATATAATACTAAAAAGATTGAAAAAGGGTGTAAAATAAAAAAACTTAATTAAGTTTGAAATTGGGGGAAATAAATGTAATTAAGCTTGGAGGGCTATTTTTGATTTTAAATAGGGTTTAAAGAGATATTTTTGTTAATTATAGAAAAAAAATGTATTTTGCAACAGAGGATACTAATCAATTAGATGGGGAATAAAAATCACTTGCTAAATAAAAATTATAAATGAATAAAATTTTCGCAAATTTAGAGGCAGTGAATACAAAAATTAGAGAATAGATTGATAATTAAAAGTGACTAAAACAACTCTCGTATCCCTTCCTATTACTATTTTTTTTCTACAAAATCTAGATAGATGAATCGTATTACTTTTATATATAAGTTTTTTATAGAGTAAACAATTTTTCCCACCCAAGGTTTGCCTTAATGACACTTTCGCACCCAAAAAGTTTCAAAATACCTTTTTTCCCACCTAGAGTTTATATTTTGTTAATACCCAAAATGCACTTTCCTTTCTCAGCCAATGTTCAACGAGTTACCAAGAGCTAGAGTAACAGAGGTTTTGTAAAGTGGAAGTTGGTGGATCGAATGGTAGTGACCAATTGAATATTCGTCGTTGAAATAACCATAAATTAGTTAAAAATATGAAACTCTAGCTTTACGATAGACGACAATTGACGAGAAATTAAATGTTGGAGTGAGAGGGTTTTTGTAGAGAGGAGACCAGAGATTCAAATGGTGGTAACGAAGAGAATTTTTGCTACTAGAATTGGTCAGAATCGGCTTTAGGTAGTAATGGACTATTAACTTTGGTTGGGAAAATGGTCTTTTGAAACTTTTTAGGTGGGATAGTGTAATTAAGGCAAACCTTGGGTGGGAAAAAGTCGTTTACTCTTTTTTATATGATCAATTTCATTTACCCTAATTAAGAGATGGTTAAGTCTAAAGCGTGCCAACAATATTAAAAAATTATTTAAGTAACCTTATTTGGGGTTATGATATTCTTAGAAATTTTTTAATATTTTTTAGGTAGATTTTTTGGTAATCTCAGGGATATGTTTGATGTTTTAAAAAATTATTGATGAAATTAACCTTTTTTTAATAGGAGATTTGTGAGTTAAAACCAAATATTTAATAGACATATTTCCGGGTTAATTTAATGAGCATCAAAAATCTCATTTTTTTTTTTTTTTCTCAATTAATCTTTTCTAATGTTCCATTATTCACCCAAACCCATCACTGATCCATGATCATCATTCTACCAAACACATAAAATTTTATACAATAATTAAAACTCATAATCTAAACTGTTTTCATAAAACACTTAAATTTCAATCCAAACATAAAAAAGCAAATATTTCACATAAACAAACCACTCTTCAAAAGATAAATTCAATTAAACTCAATGCTAATTAATTAATTTTGCCAACTCCAAATACTAGGAAACACCAATTCCTCCAATGCATCACCATCTTGTTGCTCCAAATAGTCATGATTTGAGTAAAAATTTTCACTCAAAATTGGTTCGTAGACATTGTCTATTAGCTCATGAAAGCCGGCTTGTGGCTGCTGCTGTTCTTGTTCACTTACAGAATTTGGCTGCAAATTCGTTCTTGAACTACTACTGCTCCCACCTTCAAATTCGTTTCTTAATCTGTAAACATTTCTCATATTTTCCAACTCTTCTTGCACACTTGGTTTTCCTTTATATTTGATCTTACAAAGTCTCCATTCCTGCACAAATTCATTGATCAATTTCGGAAAACTTTCTTAAAACTCATAATGAAACATAAACCTAAGAGACATATAGATTGATGGATGGGTCAAGTTCAGAGACCGGGCGACGAGTGTATACAATGAGTTAAACATGAGATCATTAACTCTGGTACCATATTAATTAGTTATTTGATCAACGTCATTTATTGAGTTTAACATTCAATATCCTTAATATGCAAATTCTTGTGTTTATATGTGTAATTGATTATTTATCTTTTGTTCATTTTTTTTTTTTTTTACTTTCATAGGGATTTAAGATTTGCTAGCATCTGATTAAATCCCCACAACAAGGTCTAAGCAAACTTGATGAATTATTTCAAAATCACATAAAATATATCTAGATTTAATCTACTGCGGAACATGTTTTATCTTAATCGACCTATAAAACTCAAATATGAGAATTGAACTCTTATCTAATAACTTAAATTTACGAGTTAAAACTAAATATTAAACATAATATACAAATTCATATTTCAATTCTGGAGAACTTTCTTAAACTTAAACTTACAATGGCAACCTGAACCTGAGAGACAAATGGATAGATACATAAATAGATCGGTCAAACTCAAAGACTGAATTAAGTAGATAATTATACACTATATGAATGTTGGATGCATCAAATATCCTTAATCTTGGTCTTAATAATATCTTGTCGAACATGATTTATGAAACTCAAAATATGGATGTTGAACTCTTATCTAATAACTTAAATTTATAAGCTAAAACCGAATGTTAAAAGGTATATAAGAAGGAGACAAACCGTTGTGTAGGACTCGAGATTATACTCATGCATTATCCAATTGGTTTTGACAGCTTTGTCACGCCTTCTTTCATTATCAGTAAACCGGTAAAATGTTAGAGGCCTTTTGTAACCTTTCAAATTCATGCTCTTATCATAAATTTTCTTAACGTGGCTTGTAGCTTTCCACCATCCTTGACCTCCCACTTCTCGAGAATCGTTTTTCCTTGTACAATAGCAATATCTCTCGTTATCAGGCACAACCGAGCTGGGTTCCCCTGAAACAAGTTAACAACATTAAGTAATGAGTCGATCTCTGGTGCGTGCAGACGTTAGGAAGTTTTTATTGTGCAAACTGAACCATTAAGAAGGGTCAAGTCATAAATGAATCATGAGCCATGCATGAATTAATATTAAGGCACACTGAACCATAAATCAAACCAAAAAACAAAAAAAAAATGAATATTAAGGTAAAAAAAAAAAAAAAAAAAATATCGAAACACGAATTAAAGTTTGTTTGATATAGAATTTGAATATAATTCTTTGCTCGCTTTTAAAAATAAGAAATATAATTGACATAAAAGAGGAGAAATAGGAAGTGTAGAGAGAGAGAGAGAGAGAGAGGGATGAACAAACATTGAAGAAGTTGAGGTTCATGCTCATAGACATTTCTTTCAACTATAAAATTGAAATGAAGAGGCATTTGGTGACCAGAAGCTTTTGTTTCTAGTATTTGGAGAAGCTCTTCATCAGTTGGATTGAACCTGAACCCAGTCGGCACCATCTTCAATTAATTCTTTTTTATTTTCCTACTCTTGGGTACATCTTCAAGTAACCAGTATAATATATAATAAAAAGAAGCATTCATAGTCAACGCAAAGATTATATAAAATCTCTAAAATAAGACAAGCTAACTGATGACGTTTGCATATATAGACAAAGAGAACACAAATTATTAAAAAGATACATATATTTTATTGTTAAACATGAACCCCACCAGGGATTCGTTAATTTCATATCATTAATTATCATCCAGTAATATTCACCTATGACTTGTTTAAGGGGAAATTTTAGGTAAACCCCCATACATTTGGGAAATTTGAAGAAAGCGCTCGTTAGTTTGGGAACTGCCAAGAGCACCAAATCTGGTCTCTCTCAATGCGAAGAGGACAAATCTAGCCTCATTGGCATCATGAACCAAATTTGGCGTCTTGGTGCCATTAGAGGCTAGACCATGCCTCTATGGCACTAAAAAGGCTATATCGGGTCTTGACCGGTGCCAAGAGGCTAGAAAATGACCTTTATCGATGCCGACTAAAAGCCTCTAGGTCTTTTCATAGCTACTGGGAGGCTTCATGCCTTTCCAATGCCATGAGGCCTTTGGTGACCTTTGGAGGCTTTCACAAGGTCCTCACGGACTCTAGCAGCTATCCTAAGGTTGTGGAAAACGCTGTTGATGGTGGTAATAATGACAGTTGGTTTTTTGGGTTTGAGCAAGGGCCAAAGAGTCAATTTTCTGAGTAATAGGGTTGAGGTGGGGCTTGAAAAAGGACAAAATACAATCTTAAATCAATAAATCTTATAAAAATTCGTTTGGTAGATATTTTCGAAAACAATTTTCAAATACAATCTTAAAAATTACTTTAAAATAAGAAAACAACTCTAACAGTTTTCTACTATTTTTAGTTCAATAACAATTTCAGGTTCATAAAGTTAGGTGATAAAAAATGTAATAATCTCTTGTAAAACTTTTATGAACCCTTAATTATATATAATAATCGCCTGTATCACAACAAAACCCAAAGCTTTTTAACTCCTAGTGCCAATGAAGGATCCTAGAATCTCATATCTAGCATATCCAAATCATATTTCCCCAAGATCCTTTGTTATAGTACATTATTAATTTGTTGAAATCTGAAGAGGATTCTGGGGGCAGGATTAGATTGGATACCATGAATTTTATTTGTCTTCCAGTGGAAGGTGTCTGAAATTGGTGTGGAAAAGATAATTTTCTTTTGAATACTTCAGTATTCATTTGAATGACAAAACTAACTTCACTTTGACGTTTCACATGTTCACTAGTATTATCTTTGACTAAGAATTTTTTTATTAACTGTGCTTATTGATTGCTAACTCAATTACGTTTTCTGAAACTCATTTTTTCTTTTCAGAATCCAGAGATCATCATAGATAATACTATCCTAGTTAGTAAATTCGCGTTTTATACGCGAATTATACGGCTAGCTGTATAATTCCCGTATAAAACGCGAATTCAGTATGTTATGAGGGCTGCCGTATAATTCGCGAATTATTACCCTATCCGTATAATTCGCGAATTTACCCAATATTCCGAATTTTTTGCCGAATTTTTGCAGACAAAAAAAATAATTACATGATAAGGCAAAACGACGTCGTTTTGGTGGGGTTTGACTAAAATTAAAAAAATCTCCTTCTCCTCTTTCTGTCTCTCTTCCACAGCTTCATCTCTTCTTCAAATCTTCAACAATTCAACTCTTTTTTCTTCATCTCTTGACTCTGAGTCTTGATCTCTTCTTCTCTTCTCTTTTTATTTTAACTCTCTTCTCCAAGCTTTAAGTCCAAGACTTCAACTCTCACACTCAAGCACACACTTCTTCTCTTCTCTTTTAACTCTCTTTGAATCTGTATGTTGGTGATTTGTTTGTGTTTGTGTTAGTGTGTGAGTAGTAGTATAGGGGCTGGTGGATTGATGGATTTGTTATTTTGGTGGATTGATAGATTTGTTTGAAACATGTTTGATGAAATGCTTGTGGAGTTATATTTGGTATCTGTTTTAACATAATATTTCATTTAGTTCTGTTGTTTTGTGTTGTATGGGTCAAAATGAAAAGACTAAATCATCTATAAAGCAAAAGGTAAGGCAAAACACAAAAGAAAAGCATGAATCATAAAAAAATATTGTCGGCTTGGATTTGGAATTGGCATTACTTAAAGAAGAAGAAAAAAGCAACAAACCATCAGTTTACAACCAACGCCAACTGCAAATTGTAAACCCATGTGCACTTTGTCATGTTTTAGATTTCATAACACTATTATTATTTGACCTTTGATGTACTCCAATTAAATTCAGAAATAAAACAACTTACTAATTGGAATCCAAACTTTGTATGCGTAGCTATAAAATTAAGGATAAAAATACTAGTCTTAGTTATTGTTCAAATATACTTTAAATTAAAAGGAAAATAAATCGTAGAGTCGACCACAATGGATTATTTAAATGGGGATGTTTTGAAAAGTGCTAAAACCAAGATTGCTATTGCCGTATTTTTCAAAACGTATTATTGACAATGTGTCGTATTAAACCCGTATATATCCGAATCGTATTTTTTCCGTATCCGAATGTTATGACCGAATTTTTACAAACGTATTTTTCACCATTTGCCGTATTATACCCGTAAAATTCCCGTACCGTTTTTTTGCCGTACCCGTATTTACTAACTAGGAATACTATTCAGATAATACTATTCAATTAAGTGATTTTGTATATCTAGCTAGAAGAACTAGATCCAACTAACTACCACTAGATGATTTGATGGTAAAAGAGTAAAAGAGGATCTAAGTTTACATAGTCTTCCGAATTTGAATTCTCACATGCCACGACTGCTAATAGGGGTGGCCACTTGAGTTCGTACCCGGCTAATAGTTTCAAAGTCCCAAAGGAATACTCAAGGTGTATGTAAATTGGTTTGAACACTCTCAATTATAAAAAAAAAAAAAAAAAAAAAAAAAAACCTAGATTGAGCTTCAACCTAATAATATATTTCAGTAAAATAAGGTGTGTCTTTATGTTACGTTGCTGAGGGCCTCATTTTAAAAAACAAAAAACAAAAAACAAAAAACAAAAAAAAAGCAGCAAAAATTATGGCCATACAAAATGACAATTACTTAATCTTTTAAGAATAAGTCTATCCTTACAAAGAACTCTACAAAAAAACTTACAAAGTGAAGAAAAAAACAAAGGAAAAACGGAAAAAGAGAAAGAGAGAGAGAGAGAGAGAGAGAAATGATGAAGATGAAGGGTGGAGGTTAACTTTGGAAAATTATACAAATTTATTAAGTAATAAATCACGTTTTTTTAATCGGCTGCCTCAATAAATAAATACGTTATTTATATTATTGACTATAATTCCTTATTTAGTTGACCATCCCTATTTTTAAAGTTAATATGAAGCATATTTATTGATGAATTTCAAATTCCTATTACGAGCCCCTGAATTTAAATCCCCTCATACACTAATAGGAGTGATCATTAGAGTTTTTACTTAGTTGGCAGTTTCAAGGTCTTGAAGGGTTAGTTGAGGTATGCAAAAGCTGAGTTGAACAACCCGGGTGATAAAAAAATGTCATACCAATACCATTGCAGATTATTTATCCAGGCCTAAAACTAAACAAATTTGTTTCATGAACCTTAGGTCCAAACCACTTCTTTGTTTCATGTATCAACCACTAACTCACTCTAGTTTTGTTCATCCATTTCTTTATCAAACCACATGCCAGACACACCTCCTAAATTCGATGATTTTGTTCAAACTCGTACCATTAATGAAAATACCACCACTCTCATATTTTCTTATCAAATTCAATGCATTGAAAAATTCTATTAATATTTTAAAATATTAATAATTTAGCACATGCATACCAACTTGAATATTTTTTCTAAAGAAAAAAATATGATAAAGAAGAATACTTATTTCAGGTTTGAATCCTACGATATGATAAAGATAATAGATTCGTGAGCCTGACAGCACTTTTAAATAGCAAGATTGCATATTGAAAATCTTGGATTCAGGATCTTTAATATATCTTGTTCATATATACTAGGTCAATGAGTCAACCAACGAGTTAAAATCAAATAAAGATTTGGTTTCATCAGATAAAGAAACCAAGAAACATAGCCTATCAGTGTACCAAGATTTGTTTTGCGTTGATGCAACCTTTCATGGACAAAACAATTTTTCTCCTTAAATTTTCCATGCTATAGGGTCCCAAATAAGATTGACGGAAGTAGAGCTTATATACATAAAAACAAAAATCGTTAGAATTTTTGTTAGAAAAATTATAGCCTTAAATTAAAAAAAGAAAAAAAAAAGCTCAGTATACAAGAAAAGTCAAATTTACAAAGTATTAAAGGATATTTTTGAAATTTTACCAGCTCTGTCTGACATGTAGGGTCCTCATAGTTAATAAGGTATTATTGTATTAATGAGACACGTTTAGAAAGTATAAAGTCAAATTTATGAAGTAGTACGGGCAGAAGTCAATGTAACGTGTGTAGAAAAACACTTGAATAATGCTAATGGGAGTAGAACTTATCCGGGCAGAGTTTATTAGAATAAAGCTTTTGGTTAGAAACATATTCAAGAGAGTATTTTGAAAACACTTTTTATTATAAAGTCTGTTAGAAAAATAAGAGTTCAATACATATTTTACTTTTAAAATATAAATTAGGGAATTAGTTTAACTCTTCACATTTAGAGAGTCAAATTTCATTCTCTATAATTAAAAATTAAGTTTCTTTCTTAGAAATAAAGAGCATCTTTATTAAATTTAAAGAATTTATTGGATTTGAATAAAAATTATATTATTTATATTTAAAAATTAATAAAGATACTCTTTATTTATATAAAAGATACTCTTCAAAATAAAGAGCATAATTAGAGATGCTCTTAAATTAACAAAAAAACAGCTTTAGTAAGTAAGAAAAAAGCAACATTTACCCCCCTACAATTTCTGAAAGTCCATGTT